TACACAGGCTTGTATGTCAGTTTTGTTTGCTGTTGGGTAATATTCCATTTCATATATGTCCTGTCACTTATCGATTCATTCCTTGATTCATTAGTCAAATACGTAGGGAGCACCGACGGCCTTCCAGGCCCCGTTCTGGGTGCTGCAGTCCACAGTGGACAAGGGAGTCTGCCCTCCTGGAGCCAGTGTTCTCATTGGAGGCAGAAAACAAACAGCGCTGCGTGTGAAGGCGTCCGAGTGATGAGTGTCCCGAAGTAAAACCCAGCGCGGGAAAGGGGAGAGGCAGCAGTGGGACTGGCTTTGCAGAGCGACCAGCAATCCTGGTTTGCCCAGGACCTTACCGGTTTTATCTCTGAAATCCCACACCCTGGGAAACCTGGGAGTCCCAGACAAACCAGGACAGGCGGTCACCAGGAATCAGAAGAGGCCTGAGCGGGCACCTGTGAGCAGATGCTGACCGGTGGCTCAGCAGGAGGCCGCTCTGCAGAAGAGTGTTCCAGGCAGAGGGAGTGCGAGGGGCAGGAGGCCAGAGGACACGCTGTGTGTCTGAGGAGCAGCCAGAAAGCCGGAGAGGCTGGCGTGGCGTGAGAGGAGGGCATGGAAACGGGGGAGCGGGGAGGCAGAAGCCGGGGCACGGGAATCTCACAGACCAGCGTGAAGACTTTGGATTTTGATCCTCCAAGCGATGGGAAGTCACTGGAGTTTTGAGCAACCAAGTCATATGATCTACTTTACATTTTTAAAGAGTCACTCTGGCTTTTGGTGGGAGGATGTACTGGGTAAAGATAGAAATAGAGAAGCAGCCCTAGCTGGTTTGGCTCAGTGGATAGAGCGTCGGCCAGCAGACTGAAGGGTCCTGGGTTCGATTCCAGTCAAGGCTCCTCCCCGGCCTGACCCCTGGTCAGGGAGGCAACTAATGGATGTGTTTCTCTCACATCGATGCTTCTCTCCATCTTTCCCTCTTTCTTCCACCCTCTCTAAAAATCAATGGAAAAACATCCCCAGCTGAGGATTAACAACCAAAAATAATAAAAATAGCTGAAACCGGTTGGCTCAGTAGATGGAGCATCTAAAAGGTCCTAGGTTCGATTCTGGTCAAGGGCATGTACCTTGGTTGTGGGCACATCCCCAGTAGGGGGCGTGCAAGAGGAAGTTGATGGATGTCTCTTTCTCATCGATGTTTCTAACACTCTATCCCTCTCCCTTCCTCTCTGTAAAATATCAATAAAATACGTATTTTAAAAAATTAAAAAACTAAAAAAAAAAAAGAAAGAAAGAAAGAAAGAAATAGGGAGTTGGCAGGGCACTTACTGCAGTGATCCCCGCAGCGGTTGCAGCCCTGGGTTTGTGGGTGCCCTTGGAGGCTCGAGCCTCGGGGGTTTCTTGGAGGAATGGGGGGCGGGGGCGGGAGGGGAGTAAGGTGCCAGCTTTCCAGAACGAATTCCAGGTTCCCGGCTTGAACTTGTGAGTCGGTGGCAGTGCCAGGGAAGAGTGGAAGGAAAGTGCGTCAGGACTTGTTTCAGACACAATGAGTCTGGGGTGCCTCTGGACACCTCACCCGTGTGAGTGTGGGTCAGCGTGTGTGTGTGAGTGTGTGTGTGTGTGTGTGTGTGTGTGTGTGTGTGAGTGTGGGTCAGCATGTGTGTGTGTGTGTGTGTGTGAGTGTGTGTGTGTGTGTGTGTGTGAGTGTGAGTGAGAGTGTGTGCGTGTGAGTGTGTGTGTGTGTGTGTGTGTGTGTGTGAGTGTGTGTGTGAAGGGTTGAGGAGCATTTATCTATTTCAGTCCAGAATTCAGGAGAGAAGCGGGACCGGGGAGGTACGTTTGGGAATTACCGAGTCCACTTAGTGCTCAAAGCTGTGAAAGTGCTTAAACTCAACTCGGAACAAGTGTGGACGGAGTCCAAGGGCTGAGCCCTGGGCCAGGCCAGCGTTTAAGGTAAAAGAGGAGGCGCACCCGGCCGGAGAGATGGAGGAACGGGCAGCGCGGAAGGTGGGAACCAGCAGCCCCTGGAGCCAGCGGGAGCAGTGGGTGTGTCAGGTCTCCTGAGAAGCTGAGCGAGAGGAGGGTGGAGGCTCCACCGCCGGCCCGGCACACGGGAGCCACTGTTTCAGCGCCATATTGGGGGGGAAGCCTCTGTGTAATGTGCTCAAGAGAGAACAGAAAGAGGCATGGAGACGGAGTCCAGACAATTCTTTTAAGGAGTTGAACTGAAGCCCTGACCGTTTTTGGCTCAGTGGATAGAGCATCAACCTGTGGACTGAAAGGTCCCAGGTTCGATTCCGGTGAAGGGCATGTACTTTGGTTGCAGGCACATCCCCAGTGGGGAGTGTGCAGGAGGCAGCTGCTCGATGTGTCTCTCTCATCGATGTTTCTAGCTCTCTATCCTTCTCCCTTCCTCTCTGTAAAAAATTAATAAAAAGTATTTTTTTTGAAAAGGGGTTGAACTGAAAAGGGAACAGCGCAATGGACAGCACCTGGGTGGGGATGTGAGGTCAAAGGGAGCTATCACAGCTGGCAATATTCCGAAGGCCTGGTGGTGGAACATTTAGGTTATTATCATCGCTGCCATCTCTTCCCTGTTCTAAGCAGTGCTGCTTGTTATTGAAAAGAAATGTCCTTGTTCTGCTCTGTGTTTTGTCAACATGACACCCTGCCCATCTGTGTGTTGGTTCAACATTTCTATTTTGCTGGAAGATGTAGGCTCTGTCTGACGTTGTTCACGCGGGTCTCCTTGGCTGACACCTTCGTGCCCAGCTCTCAGAGCCTGCAGAGAACCCCTGGGGCCACCAGGCTCAGGTCCCTCCCTGATCAACCCCCGTGGCTCCAGCCCCATAAATCCCTCCACTGTGGTGAGTTGCAGAGGTCTGAGTGTGGCATGAGGCAGCCACACAGAAAGTTCCAGAACAGGAACTGTGTCAGTCCATGTCAACTGTGTTCCCTAGAACATCCCTCCTGAGCTCCGGGGGCGAAGGGCTCTCAACTGCCATGGTTTACATCAGGCCTGGGTATACCGCGGGAGTATGTCTTACAGACAGGCACCTACACACACACACACACACACACACACACACACACACACACGAGATTTACCAACTGCACCAATGTGAATGCAGACACACAATAACCTACATACACACATGTGGTCACACTGTCATGCACATGTATCCATAGACACCTATACTCATCTGCGGACTCACACATATAGGCACCCAATGCATACACACCAACACATTAACACATAGATAGATACACACTGACACACTGCACAGAGGCTCTCTGAGGTGCACACATATGCATACAGAGTGGCACAGACACACAGAAAAAAAATCATACAAACAAGGTCCCCATGCCACACACTCACTACAGAGCACAGGCAGCCATCTGCATGGACTCACACACTGACACAATACTTTGCCATACAGGGACACACAGACACACCAGTCGGACACACAGGCTGAAGCACATCTTTACACGAAACACCTGCACGCATGCACGCACGCTCGCGGGCACACACACACACACAGACACACAGACATGCTGACCCACACCCACATGTCCTAACAAGCCCGGAGTCTCCCGGGCTCCCCTGCAGCTGCTGGCCACCCCCGGGGGAGCCGCTGTCCCCGAGGGAACGAAGGTTTCCCATCCCGTCTTTAGCTCTGCTGGGTCCTGCGTGACATCAACGGCCCCCTCGGTGCTGATGCTGCCGGGAGTTCCGAGCTGGGGCCAGGCCGGCGCCAGGCACAGACACTTCAGCCCTTGTTGGGAGAACAGAGAGAGGCTGTCCTGTCCGTTGCCCGTCCTCCGGCTCCGGTTGCGGGTTCTCTCAAAGGCCGCTCCTCAGGCCGGTGCAGGTATGTGGGGCCAGGGCGGCCGGGGCCCGGCAGAGGGGCCGTCAGAGTCAGCACAGGCCAGGGGGCGGCAGCATCGCAGGAGCATGGGCCTGGGGCACAGGCTGCGCTCCCTGTGGGTCGCTCTGCAGCTCACTTTCTCAGGGCTCCACAGAGCTGGGGTCTCCCTCCCTTCCCCTGTGGCCACTTTCTCAGCTCCCCAGAAGGCCACAGGAGGGGGCCCCCTCGTAAGGATGGGCAGTGTCCACCCAGAGAAGCCAGGCTGCAGCCCGGCCCCACAGAGAACCAAGGCTGTGGTCTTGGGATGCACAGTACCCAGCCGTTCCCGCAAGCAGCTGGGGTGTCAGATGAGATATCAGCTCTTGGCCTTGACCTCCCAAGCAGGGGTGGGGCTGTGGGGCCCTGGACATCCTGAGTCAGGGCCTAGCTATGCTCGCCTCCTCCGGCCCGCAGGGCGGGGCAGGGAGGACACGGTGCTCCCTCCTCTCCCGGGGCCTACGCCAGCTGGTCTGTTTAATCTCCACTAGACTCCGGCCAGTCTGAGTCTCTCCACGGTGCCATCCCAGGCCCCCAGGGCGGCGCCCTTGCAGGGGCATTAGGCAGAAGTCCTTGTGGCGGGAGATAGCACAGAGCCCGTGGGGGGACTCTCTACAGGAATCCAGGGTTACAGCATGCTTGTCTGAGAGCCTGGGGAGCCCAGCCTGCCCCTCACAAGCTGTGTAATCTAGCCCTCCTTCCCGCCTGTGAGATGGGGGAGAGGGTGCACACTTTTATGCTCTGCCAGAGTCCTTCCAGGCCTAGCCACCCTGGACTTCTGGAGCCGCCCTGGCGCACAGGGACCTTGCTCCCTTGGCTGTCCTTGAAAAAGGCTCAGCCTGGGAGGAGCCGCCCTGACCACGCTCCTTCCTTCCCTCCCAAGATGTTTGACTGGAGGGGCTGGGTCCAGTGGGTATCCTCTCCCATCCCAGACACGGGCTGCTGGCCTGTGGGGTAGGAGAAGCTCAGGCTATGGCAGGCACGCGGACGGGGTTGGGGAGGGATGGTGAGGGCAGCGGTGCTTGAAGCTCTAGGTGAAGCTGTCTCCCCAACCGGCTCTCTCAGGCCAGCTCCTTCTTGTGCCCCCAGTGCCCACCCTGTCACTGTTACAGAATGGACTCTAGTGCCAGCCCGGCGGGGACTTCCAGTCCACAGGTGAGTGGGTCTTCATGCCACTGCCCACCAGCAGGGGGCTCACTTCCTTATCCGGCTCAGGAAACCTATGCCAGCACCAGCCAGGAAGGTGGGTCATTCTGGAGGGTCGACAGGGGTCACTCTGAGCTCACAGAAGCGAGCCATTTGCAGGATAAACAGAGAAGAGACTTGGGCAAAGGCTTCAAGAAGTAAGTGGGGTGGGACAGTCATGGGATGGGCCCCGAGGAACAGCCTGTAAGTCCTTGGTCAGTGCTCTCTGGGCCCGTTTCCTCAACCGCACCCCTGGCATGACAGCAGCCTCCAGGGTGGTTGTGAGAAGCAGGTGGGATGGTGGAGGGGGAAGAGGGGTGGAAAGGAGGGTAGAAAGAAGGAAGGAAGGAAGCAGGTAAGCTAGTAGATGGATCAGGGCCCGGGGCCCAGAGAAAAGGGAGCCACGGAGTAGGAGCCCACTGACATTAATCTCTTCTTTCTGTAAATGTTTTCAGCCTTCACGGGCCAATGGGAACATCAACCTGGGGCCTTCAGCCAACCCAAAGTGAGTTCTGGTCTCCACGGCAACTCTCCTCCCCGGCTCCCCTCAGGCCTGGGGTCAAATCCAAGTTCTCTGGCATACCTTCAAGCCCCTCTGTGACCTGGGCCCAGGACCCCCCCCCCCCAGCTTTACCTCCCACGAGTTCCCCAGCCTCCGCCCAGGCTGAGCCCTGGGCCTGGAAGGTACCCTGAGTCTGCATTGTTAGCAGCTCCCTGCCCTCCAGCCTTTCGCAGGCTCTAAGCTGGCTGCTGCGCCTCCGTGCAGCTGTGTTGGGTTTCTCCCCACCTTACCTGTTGTTTGCTTGATCGTGAGGTCCCCAGGGCAGGGCCAGTCTTACAGGCCCTTCTGGGCTGGAAGGACATGTCGTTCTTCAGTGGTGAGGCTGCAGGAAAGCTCCCTGCATTCCCCACCTTCAAATTGAGAAGGAAGCCTGACCTGACCTGAGGATGGAGCTTCACAATCTTGCAAATGCTGACCCGAGTTCTCCCCTCTCCCCCCAGCGCCCGTCCCACTGACTTCGACTTCCTCAGAGTCATCGGCAAAGGCAACTATGGGAAGGTGGGTAACGTGGTGGAGGTGGGAAGCCCAGGCCGCCCCTTCTCCAGCCTCCTCCACCCCGTGCCCGTCGCCTGCGTGTGCAGAGAGGGCGCTCACAACCTGCAGATCCAAGGATGCAGGGCCGGGCTGGGGCCGCCAGAGGCGTGGTCCCCAGCGGGACCTGACATTGCTGCTTCCGTTCAGGTCCTCCTGGCCAAGCGCAAGTCCGACGGGAGGTTCTATGCGGTGAAGGTGCTGCAGAAAAAGTTCATCCTAAAGAACAAAGAGGTACCAGGGCTCAGGCATAAGCGTTTCCGCTCCTATTCCTCGGCTCTCAGGCTCGGGTGGCTTCCCCAGATGAGTCCCACCGGTGAAGGGTCCCTGAGCTGGGTGCAGAAGGGGGTCTTACCAGGGGGCCAGGGGTGCCTGGATGCTTACCATTCTTTTTTAAAAATATATCTTTTATTGATTTTTCACAGAGAGGAAGAGAGAGGGATAGAGAGAAACATCGATGAGAAACATCGATCAGCTGCCTCCTCCACTCCCTCTCCCTCCCACTGGGGATGTACCCACAACCAAGGTCCATGCCCTTGACCAGACTCGAACCTGAGACCTTTCAGTCTTCAGGCCGATGCTCTATCCACTGAGCTACACCGGTTTCGGCTGCTTACCATTCTTAAGAAAGGCAGGCCAACCACGCCAGCCACAGGCTGCAGGAGGAGCCAGTCCCAGCCCTGTGCCTCCCTCCGATGAGATTTGGGCCCCACAGTGGACAGCCCTTCACCCTGCCTGGGTGCCTGGCACCCCTCTATGCAGAGTGGGGTCACACCATCTACTCTCCAAGGGCCCTTCCGGCCACAGCCATCCTGGAGATCCTGATGCTTTAGCTGATTCAGGTCTCTTCACTGGCCACTCTAACCCCCGTCGGAGAGCGCAGGCCCATGAGGGCTGGATGTAAAACCGGAGGGGGAGGGAGTGAGCGTTCACAAAGACACCACGAGGGCGGGGAGGGGAGGTCTTCCTGAGGGAGGTGGCCTTGCAGCTGGCCTTGAAGGCGGGGTTCCATGGTCTGGAAAGAGGGCGCCCGGCAGGGAAAACGGCCTGAGCAGAGGCATGAACGTGGCCTCCTGTGTGCAGTGATCGTCTATTCTCTGCTTATCACCTCCAATCTGGGGACTGGAGCTGACTGGGGCTGAGACTGCCCACCCAGACGCCTGATTGCTAGGCCAGGGGCTGGGCCTGGCAATCAGGAGCCACCAGGGGTGTCTGAAGAAGGGCATGGCAATGAGGAGCCACCGGGGGTGTCTGGGGAAGGGCCTGGCAATCAGGAGCCCCCGGGGGTGTCTGAAGAAGGGCCTGGCAATGAGGAGCCCTGGGGGGGGGGGGGGGCCGGGATCTGGGGAAGGGCATGGCAATCAGGAGCCACGGGGGTGTCTGGGGAAGGGCATGGCAATCAGGAGCCCCCCGGGGTGGGGATCTGGGGAAGGGAATGGCAATCAGGAGCCCCCGGGGGGGTCTGGGGAAGGGTGGGGAGCCCCCCAGCAGGCAGTGGGCGGTGACGCGGCCCCTGCCTGTGACCCCGCAGCAGAACCACATCATGGCGGAGCGCAACGTGCTGCTGAAGAACGTGCGGCACCCCTTCCTGGTGGGCCTGCGCTACTCCTTCCAGACCCCCGAGAAGCTCTACTTCGTACTGGACTACGTCAACGGCGGAGAGGTGGGCGGGCTGCCGGGCCCCCGGGCCGGCTCTTAGCTGGGAGCATCCATCCTACACACCTGCCGTGTACTAGGTTCCGGAATGATCTCACATGATCCACACCACAGACCCGCTTTGTAGGGGAGGAAACGAGGCTCAGGAGCTAATCCCTTGCTCAAGGCAGAGCCGGGACTGGAATGTGGATCTGTATTGATTCCCCCTGACTCACCTGGGAAGGTCATGAACTCTGAGGTCAAGGTTTTACAAGGGCCACTGGTGGGGACGGCCTGCCGCTGTGATAAATGGAGACCTGAGGCCCCCTGTTGACCCAGCAGCGCAGCTGCATGAGCTGAGTTCCCTTCTGGCTCTTAGTGAGGCCCCTCAGCGACCCCAGATCTAAGCTCTATGACCTCAGGCCTTTGGCCTGGTGCTGAGAGGGAAGTTTTTGTCCTGCATCCCTAAGTCCCCTGATGGAGTTTTCCACACTCGCAAAACACACCAAAGCAATTGGCCCACGGGCAGAGCTATCCTGGGCTGAGGAAGGGCATGGGACTTGACCATGATAATCTTATCACCTGGGTTGGAGGAAAAACCTATCTTTGAACCACCCAGTTTCAAATCCCAGCTCTGCCAATTGCAAGCTATGTGACCTTGGCAAGTCACCTGGCTGCTCTGACCCATCCCAGATTCCTCTTAGGTGAAACTAGCATCATATTTGATACCTTGAAGGCTGTCATTAGATTAAATAAGAGATGTGAAAGGTCCTGGCTTGGAGCTTGGAATACAGTAGGTGCTCAATCCATGTGAATTAATCTCTCCTGCTGAGCCGGTGGACCCCCACGACTGCTGTGTGGGGTGGGGTGGTATGCCCTTTGTTGTCTGAGTACACTGCTGTTCGGAGAGGGGTGACCTGGGCCGCTGCCCCCCTGCACCCCGGTAAACGCTCTCACCGGTAAATCCTCCTCCTCCAGCTGTTCTTCCACCTGCAGCGGGAGCGCAGGTTCCTGGAGCCGCGGGCCCGGTTCTACGCCGCCGAGGTGGCCAGCGCCATTGGCTACCTGCACTCCCTCAACATCATCTACAGGTGAGGCCCGTGCTCAGGGCTGGGTGGGCCCCGAGTCCTGACGAAATGCCGGTGAGCTGGGCCTTTGTCTGAGGAGATGCCCCCAGCGGGGGAGGGAGGGAGGGAGCCTCCTCCTTTCTCGGATCAAGTGCCCATCCGCCCCGGACTCCCCGTGCACAGCCCTCCCGCCTGGCCCCCAGGTCCCCACTGTCCTCTCTCAGTGGCTGAGCCGTCACAGCGTGCTTTTCTCATTTGATGCAGGGACCTGAAACCAGAGAACATTCTCTTGGACTGCCAGGTTGGTGTGTGTGCGTGCACATGTGTGTATGCGCAGGATTGCATGTGAAGGTTGTGCACCCACATGTATGTGTATGGGTATGCATCTTGGATAGAGATGCATTCAAATATATGTTTTCACATACCTATACATGTGTACATCTGTATATACGGGCACGCAAGACCATACATGTATGTACGTGTGTGTGCACATGTGTATTCAGGAGGTCTATAGAGGGCAGAGGTGGGGCCAGGTGGAGGCTTGTGGGTTATGTAAGTCTTAGGTTGGGTTCCCTGGACACAGGCCCTGAGAGGAAGCACTGGGTGCAGGTTATGAGGGACCACTCCCAGAGATCTCCCTGTAAGGGGGTGAAAGGCAGGACTGGGCAGAGGAGGAAGCTCACCTCCTCCTTGTGGTGGGAAGTGAGGCCTCAGGTGACCCCACAGGGCGGGGAGGACCCAAGAGGGAATGGCTCTTTGGAACTGTTCCCAATTGAGGCAAGTCGGCCGGGCATTGGTGCCCCTGCATCAGTGAGTCATTGGGAGGGACTGCCCCTAAGGAGGGGCATAACTTTGGGTGAGGGCAGTGTCCCAGCACGGGTGGGGGGGGTGGGCAAGACAGCTCCCAAAGGGGGGATGTGGGCAGGGTCCTGCAGTACCCACTCACTCCACGACCTCCTCCAGCCACCCACCTGCCCAGCTGCCCACGGTGTGGCTGCCGGGCCCCAGTCCTCTGCCAAGGGCCTTCTGCCGCCAGGACATTCTGGAGCTGCCAGTGTAGCAGGGCCCGGGCCTGAGTCTGTGACGAGCTGGGCAGACAGGGAATGCCATCTCCCCTCCTTGCCCCTGTGCAGCCTGTGCAGGAGCATCAGACTCCAGAGGCACTGCCCTGGGGGTGGGCATTGGGCATTGGGGTTAGGCCTGGCCATACCATTAACTTAGACCACTCTCCTGTCCCTGACTCCCCTCCTCTGCAGGGACACGTGGTCCTGACAGACTTTGGCCTCTGCAAGGAATGCGTAGAGCCGGAGGAGACCACGTGCACATTCTGTGGCACCCCCGAGGTGAGCTAAAACTCCGGAGAGAAGGCAAGCAGAGTGGTTGAGACTCGAGCTCCTGATTAGAGGTGACAGGTTACAGCGAAAGGGGCTCACTCCTTCCACCCAAGCACTTCTCCTGAGCTGCCTGTGCACTCAGCCTTGGTTTCCTCATCTGCATAATGGGGGCGGCAGCTCTGGGGGCTGTGGGACCCCGCCAGCTGCTGCTGACTCTGCCACAGTGACGTCCAATAGAAACAGAAACAGAAATGCAAACGATGTAGGCAATTAAAATTTCCCAGCAGCCATGTTTAAAAAGTAAAAAACAAACAAGTGGAATTAATTTTAATAATATATTTAAATTAACCCAATATATACACTGAGTGGCCAGATTATTATGATCTCTGAACGCATAATAATCTGGCCACTCAATGTGTGTGTGTGTGTGTGTGTGTGTGTGTGTGTGTGTGTGTGTATTAGAGGCTGGTACATGAATTTGTGCATGTGTGGGATCCAGCCAGCCTGGCCAGGGGGAGGGGACATGGGCAGTTGGCCGGCCTGCCTGCTGGTTGAACTCCTGGTTCAATTTGCATATTAGCCTTTTAGTATATAGGATTATTATATAGGATATACACTGAGTGGCCAGATTATTATGCGTTCAGAGATCATAATAATCTGGCCACTCGGTGTATATAAAATATTGTCATTTCAACATACCATCAATATAAAATTGAGATATTTTATTCTTTTTTTTTTTTTTTTAAATCTTTGACATCCGTGTGTATTCTACACTGATGGGCCATCTCAGCCACATTGTAAGTGTTTGATAGCCCCATGTGGACAGTGGCCGTGGTACTGGACAGCACTGTCTTACAGGTGAAGTCTACGTGCAGCAGGAGGGCCTAGCCTGACAATTAAGATCAGGGCTTGCCCTTTATTTCTGCCCTCTCTCAGCCACAAAGAGCCCGGGGGGTTAACATGTATGTGTCTCAGCAGTAATTCACACTGTCTGTCTGCCCAGCCACGCCCTTACACTCCGGACAGAGGGTCCCTGGATGCTTGGACAGATGTCTGGGTGGGGTGGTGGGGCTGAGGCTGTAGGACTGGGAAACTCGTCCAGCCTGGCCTGGGGCGGGGCTTGAGCGGCTCCACTTTTCTCCCTGTGCTTGACAGTCCGGGCTTCCGATCTCAGCTGCGCCTCCTCGGTCGGTTTTAGGGTAGCCGATGGACAGGTGACCACTGTGAGCAGGAGCCATTGTCTGTGTTGTGTGTGGCGGGGTGTCTGCTGGACAGAGCTGGCCTCCCAAAGCCCCACAGCCCAGCAGGGGACATGGCTCGTGTGGGAGATGTCATCTCTTCCACGATCCTTTTCTCCAAGCGCCTTGTTCACAGATGGGGAGATTGAGGCCGAGGGTCTTTCAGACAAGTGTGTTTCCCCTCGACAGTACTTGGCTCCAGAGGTGCTTCGTAAGGAGCCCTATGACCGGGCGGTGGACTGGTGGTGTCTGGGCGCGGTGCTCTACGAGATGCTGCATGGCCTGGTGAGCGGGGTGTCGCTGTTCGCTGGGAACGTCTGGCTCTGGGGAGAGAGGGGGGTGGGTCTCTCCCGACACCACCTGCTCAGGCTTCTCCAGGAACCGAACAGCCACTCCAAGCTAAAAAAAAATGATGCCAGCCCTGGCCGGTTTGACTGAATGGTTAGAGCACCGGCCTGCGGACTGAAGGGTCTCAGTTCGATTCCTGGTCAAGGACGCATACCTGGGTTGCAGATTCGATCCCCACTCAGGAGGCAACCAATCAATGTATCTCTCTCACACCCATGTTCCCCCTTCCCCTCCCCCTCTTCTCCTCCCTGCCTGTCTTCCTCCTTCCCTCCCTTCCATTCTCTCTCTAAAAAAAGAAACAAGTTAATGGAAAAAGTATACTCAGGTGGGGATAAAAAAGAAATGGCACCAAAGTGAATATTACAAGGATTATATGTAGTTTTTCAACACTGTCAGCTCAGCACTTTATAATACCCTATCTCTTACGTCACTCCTCTGGTGCCTCAAAGCAGCCTCAGGAGGGTGGCTGCAGGAAATGGAATCGTTCTTGATTTCATTAACGGAGAGGGAAACTGAGGCCCAGAAAGGTCACAGTGCTGGTAGGTGGCGGGCCCAGCCTGGCTCCCAGTCCTAGGCTGCCTGCTTGGATGGAGGCAGCGCAGAGCTGCCCAGGCCAGGCTTCACCCTGGGGCAGCTTCGCGGGTATGAAGGAGCAGGCTCCGTGGAGCCTGGAGAAGGAAGAGCCGGCAGAGGCGGAGGGAGGAGGAGCATCAGGAAAGGCGGGCTCTGGGTATGGCTGGGGCCTGGCTGTCTTCCTGGCTCTGCCACAGGCTTTAATCTCTTGGAGCCTTGTCTTGTCACCTGAACAATGACTGCCTGTCTCTAAGAATGGATGCGAGGCTGGGAGGAAATGATGAAGGGAGAGCCTGACCTTGCAAAGTGCAAAGTTGGTGCACAAGCCAGGTTAAGAGAGGCGGGTGGGGGATGCTCCAGGAAGTCTGCAAGTCTTTTTTTTTTTTTTTTTTTTAAATATGTTTTATTAATTTTTCAGAGAGGAAGAGAGAGGGATAGAGAGTCCGAAACATTGATGAGAGAGAATCATCAATCAGCTCCTCTTGCACACCCCCTACTGGGGATGTGCCCGCAACCAAGGTACATGCCCTTGACCGGAATCGAACCTGGGACCTTTCAGTCCGCAGGCCGACGCTCTATCCACTGAGCCAAACTGGTTTCTGCGTAGTCCACAAGTCTTACACCCATGAAGAGAGACTCCTCAGCCTTCCCAGAAGCCCTCTCCACCGGGCTAGACGCCCAGAGGTCTCTCTGTCCCTCTCCAGTCTGCCCCGTGAGCCGTTGTACAAGGCGTGGTGACCCAGCTCTGCTCCAAGTCTCTCTGAGACCTGTGTCCGCTTGAACATGGATGATCCTGCAGCTCTCTCCCTCTCTCCAGCCACCCTTCTACAGCCGGGACATAGCCCAGATGTATGAGAACATCCTGAACCAGCCACTTCAGATCCCCGTGGGCCGGACGGTGGCTGCCTGCGACCTCCTGCAAGCCCTTCTCCACAAGGACCAGAGGCAGCGGCTGGGCTCCAAAGCTGACTTTGTAGGTGACTTGCTGGAGGCGCCCTGGCCCCTTCCTGCAGAGGCAGCTCAGAAGCACAGTGGCAGGCATCCAGCTGTCTGTAAAACAGAGCACTGCCAATTCGTTCATTTGGAAATTCTCAGCTGCTGCCACTTGATTACTCCCTCCCGTCTAGTTCTATTCAACCAATATCTACTGGGCACCTACTGTGCGCCAGACATTGAACTAGACTCTAGGGATTCAATAGATTGGGTCTCTGCCCTTATTAAATTTTTTTTGGGGGGAGGGCAGACAACAAACAAACATTAGATACAACTATTGCAGAGTTTGACAAGTATCTATACCAATAAAAGAGAAAGATGCAAATTGACCTACCTTCGTGACACCCACCAGCCAACCAGGAGTCAGTATGCAAGTTAACCCAACAAATATGAAGGGTTAATTTGCATACACAGGCGATGAGTGGCCTGTTGAGTTCCACACCGCGCCAGCCACTCAGGGCCTCTGGGCAGTGTGGGAAGGTGGAAAGGCAGCTCCAGCTAAAGCAAAAGCGGTGGCAGCAGCCAGGGGAAGGAAGGCCCATTCTTGCATGAATCTTCATGCATTGGGCCTCTAGTCAGGAAATAAATGAGCAAAGAGCTAAGATAGAAAATAATGAGAGGAGGTAAATTCACACTGCTACGGCCAGGGAGGGCCTCTCTGAGGAGAGGACAATGAAGCTGAGACTTGAAGGTAGAGAAGGAACCACTCTTGCAGAGCTGGGAGGAGGCGTCCCAGACACAGAGCAGCATGTGCAAAAGTCCTGTGGTGGGAACGAGGAGGAGCGGGAGTGGTCTGCTTTAGGTGTTTTGAGCAGGGGTGTGGTAGGACCCAGTTTAAGTTTTAATAAATTCCTCTGGCTTCTGTGCAGAGTGGACTGGACTGGCTTTCCACGGGTATCTGAGCACTTCCTCCTTGCCGCTGCCCAGGCCAGGCACTCAGTATAAAGAGATCAATAAGTCGCAGTCCATTCCCTGAACCAGTTTATTATGTTTTTTACTAAAGTGGCATTTACAAAAAATAATCTAACATTCTCTACGCAACCAAAGACCATTTGGACTTATACAAGGAAGACCACACTATGCTCCTCCCTAGAACTTGGTTTTCTCTCCCAGCATCGTGGTTGAGATGCATGGCCTCGTAGACAGGCTGCCTGGGTTCACATCCCTCCTCCACCACTTACACTCAACTTCTGTGAGCCTCAGTTTTCCCATCTGTAGCAACAGCACCTAGCTTAAGCTGCTACAAAAGTCAAATGGATTAAGATATGCAGAGCACTTAGGCTAATGCTTAGCACACAGTAAGTGCTTTTTAAGTGTTTTTACAGACAGCCCTACATGTCAGAAACTGTGAAGTGTAACAACATTCAGGGCATTTGCCCACCTGCCCCTGGACAGCTTAAAGAATATGACTTTCATGAAGATTGGTCCACTCCTTCCAGGTGGAAATTTGCATCTTAAAAAAATATATGTATGATTAAAAAAAATAATAATACCTACATTCACATAGATCAAAATTCAAAGAATATTCGGGGGAAAAGTCCCTCCAGCTACCCAGTTCCTTAATTTAGAGACAACCAGTGCTACCAATTTTTTTGGCATCTTGGATATGTTGGATCTGGCTTTTTAACAAGCCCAGAGGTACTATTCTGATACAGTGGCTGGAGACTCCTTCTTTGAGAAACACAGCTAGGGAGCAGGTCCTGCTGGGCCTGGAGACAGTTGGTACTGACATTGGGTTGGAGGAAAGAAGTGGTGAAGCACGCCCAAGGCTGAGTCCGAAATTCTGGGTCGCTGGGAACCTGCAGCTTTTCTTGGGGATTTCCTTTCTGAGCCTTTCACAGTGAATTCACCTGTCTATTTCTCTGGTTTGCCTTCTGAAAGAGTCAAAACACATGAGGGCAGAGTGGGGCGGGCTCCCCAAGAGTCCCTGAGAGCAGGTTCTGCTGACATGTTCAATGACATACCTTCAGAGCCTACTGGTGGTGGCACAGAGTAGGCGTTCAGCTAATAGATGTGGAAGAAACTGATGTCATGGGGGAAAGGGGTGGGGTTCCTGGTGACCCTGAAAGGGGGTGTCTGGCTGCAGAATGCTCGCTCTGTTGTCCCAGGAAAGCAGTCAGAGGTACGAGTTACTTTCTAAGCAATGGTTTTAGGGCTTGACAGCCAGCTGCCAATGGAGTTGGACTCAGGGCCATGTGGGGTGGGACAGGGAGAACCCATGGAGAGGGCTGCTTCTGATCAGCCCCTTCTTTCTGCAGACGGAGATCAAGAACCACGTATTCTTCAGCCCCATAAACTGGGATGACTTGTACCACAAGAGGCTGACCCCGCCCTTCAACCCAAACGTGGTAAGAGGTCACTGCGCTCCAGATGCTAGCTTGCCAGGGCCGGGGCAGTTTGGAAGGGATCTGGGCCAACTCTCTACGGGTGGAAGAACCAAGGGCCCAGGAGGCTCCGTGCTTTGTCCAAGGCCACATCGTAAGCGAGAGGCAGAAACTGGCCTAGAACCCAAAAGTCCTGACTGCCAGTTCAGCTCTGTGTGCTGAGCCCTGCTTCTGCGCCTTTGTTTACGTCACCGGTGACTCTCATGGCACAGGCCTGTGCAGTTTCTAAAGTGCTCTGTGTCATGTAGCCCACCCTGTAAAGACATTTTCTCTCCATGGTTTGCTTTTTCCCTGATAAGTAAAATGGCATGTAGTCATTGTAGAAAGTATGCAAAACAGAGAATTTTAAAGCAGCAGGAAGAAAAAGCTTTTTCTCTCACTATCCAAGAGAATAGCTGGCATATTTCCTTCCAGTCATCTCTCTCTCTCTCTCTCTCTCTCTCTCTCTCTCTCTCTCTCTCTCTGTCTCTCTCTCTCTCTCTTTCTCTCTCTCTCTCTCTCTCTCTGTGTGTGTGTGTGGTTTACATAGGTCATAATTTTATATTTACATATATTTCTCCTCCATACCCCTTTTTCTTTGCTAAAAACTATGCCATTATTTCCACAAGTCATATAAGACTTTATAAGGATCATTTTAAGTGGCTCATACTATTTCAACCCCATGCTGGTGATATCATTTATTCAACCAGGCTCCTAACGGTGAACTTTAGGTTCCAATTTTTATTTATCACAATGTACTGATGAATATCTTTAAGTGTTGATCGTTGTCCAGAACTCTGATTATTTCCTTGTGATGGATTCCAGATGGGGAGTGACCAGGTCAAAGACTGTGAATGTTTCTAGGTTCTCCATTCATACTGCCCTCGCTGTGTGTTAGGGAGGGCAGTCTATGTCCGACCAGTAGAGGCTGTGGGAGAATTCTCATCGTACTCTCTGCAGCACGTGAGGTTGCTTTTAACTTTGCGAATATATTTAGTATAAAATGGCATCTAGCAATGCTTTCACTTCTATTTCTTTGATTTACAGTGAAGGTGGTTACTTTTAAAATGTTAATTAGCATGCTAGTATGCCAAAAGGAACCCTGTTTGAGGTGGACACTGGAATTCTCTGGGCCACCTCTAAGGGTCAAGTCAAACAACATCAAATCCTCTTCATCTGATCAGTCGGCACACCTCAACACTGCCATTGTTGTTATTCACATCTTTCCTTTGGCGATTTACCTGTTTGAGAATGTGTCTTTGAGTGCCAGATTTTTTTTTTTTAATTTTTATTGATTTTTTACAGAAAGAAAGAGAGAGACAGAGTCAGAAACATCGATGAGAGAGACTGCCTCCTGCACATCCCTCACTGGGGATGTGCCCGCAACCAAGGTATATGCCTTGACCGGAATCAAACCTGGGACCTTTCAGTCCGCAGGCCGACACTCTATCCATTGAATCAAACCGGTTTTGGCGAGTGCCAGATTCTTGACATCAGTTGTATATAGGGTATGCTCGGTCCATGCACCTGAAAAGTTTCTTTATCTGGGGATATTTAAAAAGATTTTGAGGATAATATTGAACGTACACCCTGGAGAGAGAATAATATGCAAAGTACTAGGCAGGGAGGTAATACACACAATGCATGAACTTTAGAGTGAGACACAGTGGGGGTGGATTCCTGGCTCTGTCACCTATCACTTGTGAGACTTTGAATGTTTTGGTTTTTTAATTAATCCTCACCTGAGGATATTTTCTCAATTGGTATTTTTAGAGCAAGTAGGAGAGGGTAAGGGGAGATAGAGAGACAGAGAAATATCAATGTGAGAGAGACACATGGATTGATTGCCTCCTGTACATGCCCTGACCGAGACCAGGGAATGAACCTTCCACAGAGGTATGTGCCCTTGACTGGGAACTGGACCCATGACCTTTTGGTGCGTGGCCAATGCTCTAAACACTGAACCATGCGGGCCAGGGCTTAAATAAGTTTCAATGTCCTTGTTCATTAAAGAAACAAACAAGAAAACAGAAAATACCTGCCTTGTCTAGGGCCACACAGCATAAAAGGTCCAGGCTTCACATTCTAAGTCCTGGGTTAACACCGCTGTGCCCTGTGGCCTTTTTGAGAAGCTGGGGCCATGGTCTCTTTGGTTATACAGGGAAGGCTTGCACGCTAGAGTGAATCTACAGACCTTTCCACTTGCTCACCTGCTTACTTCATAAAGCCCAGGTGGCTCAGTCTTCTCCACAGAGAGGTTGTATTGGTTAGCTCTTGCTGCGCAACAAGCTACACACTATGTGGCTTAAAACAATTTTTAAATTTCATTATGATTCTATGAGCTGATTGGGTAGTTTCTTTGACTGGGTCAGGTTAGCTGACTCTACTGGGCTCTCTTGTTAGCAGTCAGCTAGCAGGTCAGCTGGCAGTTGATGATCTAGGCTTGCCTCATTCACAGGCCTGGCAGTTGTCTGGCAGCTGGGGCAACTGGGTTAACTGGGTTCTCTTTCACGAGGCCTCTCAGACTGCAGCACGATGGCCTGGGCTTGATCAGGTGGCCTACAGGGCTCCAAATGCAGCAAGAGAGAACTCCCAGTATGTGATTTTCAAACCTCTGATTGCATCCCATTTGGTAACGACTCATTGGCCTAAGCAAGTCACATGGCTAACTCTTATTAAAGGGATGGGCAAGAGACTCCACCTCTGGGTGGGGATGGAGAATTGGTGACCATTTTTACAATGTCCCTCACAGGTCTTCCCACAAAACAGCTAAAGCAGCCCAGTCACTCTCTACTATATTAACCCAAGTTACACTTTTTATAAGATCTATCAACACCCAAAATTATCTGTTTGTGTAGATGCTTATTATTCGTCCTCCTACCCTCTGTATAATATAAGCTCTGTGAAAGCAGGGGCCCACTCTATTTTGTTCTCCTGTATTCCCAGGGCATTCAGTAACTACATGTTGACTAGACTTGTCTTGGGGTTATTGTGTGGCAGGCAGGGAGGGTACTAGGGGGTTAGAGGAATTGATAAGTGGTTACTGGGCCTCATGGAATAAAATAAAATAATGTAGCACAGACAGTGTTTCTCAGTTGGTTGAGCATCGACACATGAACCAGAAGATCACGGTTTGATACCATCAGGGCACATTCCTGGGTTACGGGCTCCATCTTCAATAGGCGTATGCAAGAGGCAGCCTAGCTTATGTTTCTCTCTCCCTCTCTCTGAAATCAATAAAAACATATTTTAAAAACAGAAAAAGTAACTAATGTAAATGCATGGGTGACAGTTAAGCAGGGGTATCCAGAAGGCACTCAGAGGGGAGGTCTAACGTCCCTCTCAGGGTTTGTGGGTTCCTTCTCATCGCTGGCATTTATCCACAGGCAGGACCTGATGACTTGAAAAACTTTGACCCAGAGTTCACCCAGGAAGCCGTGTCGAAGTCCATCGGCTGCACTCCCGACACTGTGGCCAGCAGCTTGGGGGCCTCAAGTGCATTCCAGGGGTTTTCCTATGTGCCGGAGGATGAAGCCGTCCTGGATTGCTAGGAGACGAGTACCTGTGAAACCGCTGAAGACAGCTGGTACCTGTAAGGAATTCCCTTCAGCTGCTGGGAACAGAGCCTCAAAGTGCCAATGGCTTAAATAGTGCTGCAGTGTGCTGTGCTTTTATTGCATTTTCCTCTTCGGTTCCACTCTCTCCCTTCCATTTTTCCAGGGCAGTCTCCTACGCCAGGAACTATAGGGGATGAAGCAGAAGACCATGGAAAACACACCAATGACACTGACACTGGAGACCAAAGCTGTGTTTTCCGATGGTCTTAGGAGACCTTGCTAGCGATTCTCAATCGCTATAGAGCCTAAATCCATCAGAATACAAAGATATTTACATCACGATTCATCACAGTAGCAAAGTTACAGTTATGAAGTAGCAATACAAATGATGTTGTGGTTGGGGGCCCCACCACATGAGGAGCTGTAGGAAAGGGCCGCGGCGTTAGGAAGGCTGAGAACCAGTGCTTTAGGGTGTCACCCAACATCCTCTCATCTTCCTGTGTTGATGGTCTCTTTGTTGTGGGTAGTATTAGACACTTGTTATTATGTTTGTCCGCTTGGCATCCGAACCCCTTCCTATATTCAGGGAATCTCCCTCTTTATGAGTCTGGATGAGGGGCCATAACCTCCATGTACAGTAGCTGAGATTCTAAATAGCGACTTTTGCAGCCTCCCTTGCAGCGGGGGCCAGGCGTGTGGCCCAGGGATACCTGTGCCAGATTTTGACGCGAGGAAGGGACCGGAGCCCTCTTTCATGTGGTAGCTGTGGTGACAGCACCCACCAAACTGAGTTTGTGGTGTGGAAGTGGTAACGTGTAAATTGTAGCAGTTGGGACTCAGTGGCAACAGCTGCAATCTCTTCATATCATTCCGAGATGTCATTCCCATCATTCCTGGGAAGCCTTGAGTCTTGACCTCCAGCTTTCGAATAATCTCAGGAGCTTCTGACCCTCTTTTATTTCTTTTTTTTTTTTTTTCTTAATTGGCCCCAATCAGCTTTAGAACAGCAGCCTATGCTGAACTAGTTTCTGTGATAGACTTTTTCAAGTCTATTATCAGCTTTTATCCAAACAACCTCAAGGTAGGAACTGCTACTGTCCCCTTTTACCAAGGAAGAAACAGGGTCAGAGTTGTTCCCTACCTGGTCACATCGTTAGTAGGGTCTGAGATGGGACCTGGAGCCACATAAGCTGACTCAAGGGCTCTCACATGTATCCTTTGTGCAAGTCTGCCTCTCACTGTTAGGCCCAACAGAATGGCTATCAAAACCTCTAGTGGAAATCAAATTTGGAGTTAATCAGAAAAAACTAGGTGGTGGGAAATGGGGTGAAGAGGAGACACTGAACTGGAGGCTCATGGTCTGAGCGTGGCTGCCAAGTTCAGTCTGTGCTCCACCTCGCCTGCCCCTGTATGTCTGGTAGGCCTAAGGCCATGGGGAGCCTGGGCCTTGGACAGGGCCGGGGCTGGTGCAGGCTTGGTGACCAGAGCTTCCCGGCCACTTATGGAGCTCCATGTGGTCAAGATTAGTCATTTCTCAAGGTAATTCTGGACAGAACCTGAGCACATAACCTCATCAATTCAGAACACCTTGCCCTTGTAGAATGGATCATGCTGCTTTATTTCAGTGGAAAGGGGTTTCCTTTTCTCAGCCTTGTGGTTCATCCATCACTCCTTCTGGGTGGTATTATTAGCTTTCTTGGTTTGCGGGAAACATCAGTGTGTGCTGTGATTTTTATTGCCTTTTCCTCTTCGGTTTCACTCTCTCCCTTCCGTGTTTTCCAGGGAAGTCCCCTGCCCCAGAACTATGGGGGATGAAGCAGAAGACCATGGAAAACACCAATGACACTGACACTGGAGACCAAAGCTGGGTCAGCAAGAGCTCTTGTCACCCTTTGGCCTGCACTGAGAATTCTGAAACACTCTGATTCGATTTCTATCTTCATAGTGTCTGTTAACCGACAAACATGGAACATGAGGGAGGGGCCCCAATTCCCCCAACTCCCCAAAGCATTATTCAAGATTATAATTGTCTGAAATGTGCTATGACTCTCTGTTCTAAGACTATAAGATCATAAAAATTTCAGAATGGAAAATAAAAATGAAAAACTATGATATTGATCATGCTATGCCTGTGTTTATTGAGCACATTCTGAGTGTTACATGCATTATCTACAATCCTCACAGTAAGCCAGCACTTAGAAATTAAAAAAAATATATATTTTATTGATTTTTTACAGAGAGGAAGAGAGAGGGATGTTTCTAGTTAGAAACATCGATGAGAGAATCTTCGATCAGCTGCCTCATGCACACCCCCTACTGGGGATGTGCCGGCAACCAAGGTACATGCCCTTGACCAGAATCGAACCTGGGACCTTTCAGTTCGCAAGCCGACACTCTGTCCACTGAGCCAAACCGGTTTCAGCAGCACTTAGAAATTAAACTTCCCTTTATAAATAAGAAACATTTGCTCAGAGAGATTAAGTAACTTGCCCAGGGTTACCCAGGGGGTAACAAGGCACAGCCAGGAATTAAGTTTGGTGGCAGCTGATTCCAAGACCTTTGCTCTTTCCACAACTTTCAACAGTGGAAGAAGTGCTCTGGACAGGAACTCTTTTGTTCTAGCAAACACTGACTCTACATCAAGCAGAAGGATCCCAACACTCAAGTGGCACAGCCTCTTCTCTCTACAGAGGAAACACATCGCTTCCATTTGTACCCCTCACTGAAGACTGTATTCACCCAATTTTGCACCGAAATACAGCATCGCCAGGAAGAGAATTCTGAATCACCCTCCATCACTTTTTAACTTTGCAATGACAGTAGTTGTGAAAAGGCAGCAAGAGATTTAAGGGCCCTACACTCTCTACCACTCTGTTTAGGTTGGAGATTCTAACAAACACAAATTCAAAAAGAAACTGTCCGAAGTCTGCTCTCATTGGGTTGAGTCAGCGAGCTGGTGGCACTGCACCAAGGTCCACAGGTCTAGAGTGCTCCTCTGGGGAGCAGGGAGGCCCTGTGTCCTGGCACCGCTTTCCCTTTCTGAGTGAGGGCTCTTTCGCATCAGCAGCTCCTGCCAGGAACGCTCTTCCCAGCCCTTGCCTTAATGTGGTGGTCGGCAAACTCTTTAGTCCACAGAGCCAAATATCAACAGCACAACGATTGAAATTTCTTTGGGGAGCCACATTTTTTAAACGTAAACTTCTTCTAACGCCACTTCTTCAAAATAGACTCGCCCAGGCCATGGTGTTTTGTGGAAGAGCCACACTCCAGGGCAGTGTTTCCCAAAGTGTGGTCCGCGTATCCCCAGGGGTGTGGGAAGAGTCTGGTGGGGGTACGCGTTGCACCGGAGTTTGGTGGGGATAGGCACTGCACCGTGCTTAGCTGCGCCTAATTCTACGTTCTCATGAGTACGAGGGGTACTTAGCGTTACGGAAATTATAGAAGGGGCGCACATATGTCAAAAGTTTGGGAAACACTGCTCCAGGGGCCAAAGAGCCGCGGTTTGCCGACCACTGCTAACGGATATCACTCTTCTTTCATATCACTGCTCATCGGGGGCGCCTTACGACCCAGCTCCAGTCCCTTGAAGCTCCTTTAAGACAGTTTGTATGTTTATTTTTGGTAAGATTTGACCAGAACCAACTCCTCGCTGGCAGACGCTGAGACGGCGGGGTCATGGCCATGGACCTGTGGTGCTCAGTGCAGCAGGACAAATTAGAGAGAGAGAACTAGTTCATGTCACCGTCTCAGCACTGAACCCCCTTCGGGAAATCCCTGACCCCTCGGGGAGCCGACCCCACGCGCACCCAGCCGCCAGCCCCAGGCCCAGGGCCCCAGGCGCCCCGACACCGCCTCCGCTAGGCCCCGCCCCCTGCTCCGTGGCGCCTGCGCCCTGGGGACCGCCCCGGACCGGAAGTCTTTACTATTCTTCATTCTCGGGGTCGAGCGAAGTCCAGGCCTTTGGGAGGGACCTACTATTTTTACCGGTTTTTACTAAGACTGGATCCGAAAGACATAATGAAATCGGTTTATCTGTGGCCTACAATCAGCCCGCGTTCTGTTTGGGTGTAAGCCCATGCAACATAATGGTACAGCCCCACGGAAGTCCCGCCCCTCCCACCGCCGGCGTCTTCCGGTCCGCCGTCGTCACGTGACCGCCGAGGCACGCCCCCCGGCCCGGGCCACGCCCTCCCAGCGGCGCCGGGCCTGCGTCGTTGCTAGGAGGCCGTGGCTACCTGGCGGGGATGCGGGGCGGCGTCAGGTGAAGATGGTGGTCACCGGGCCGCAGGTGAGCGGAGCTCCCGCAGGGATGGGCCCGCGCGGCTTCCCGGACTGTCCTGGCCCCGGGGCCGGGCTTGTGGAGGACAGAGGTCCCCCGGGGTCAGGTAAACTGGGCGCGGATGGAGGCCTGCATCCCCGCCCCGGGGCTGGCTGGAGTGGGTTTGCAGAGGTCCTGCAGGGCGGGAAAGGGCCCCCTCCCCTTCCCCAGGAGCCCCGCTCCCAGGATCCTGCCCTGCGGCACAGGGCAGGGCAGAAGGAGAACTAGGTCAGTTCCAGTGGGGTCTAGGATGGCGCGGGACTGAAAAGATGCCCCCGAGGGCAGTGGTTCGGTTCGTGATGACACAGCCATGCAGCCGTTCACCTAATCGTGGAGACATTTCCTGAGGGGAGCTGGAGAAAGCAGAATGCGGTGTTGTGTATGCACACAGAAGACAAGCATGCACAGGGCTGGGGTGAAACATGGAAAGATAGCTGTGGTGGGTACATGGGGGCATTTAAAAAAACCTGACAAAATGATTTAAAAAAAAAAACTGCGAAAGTATGTGAGACTAGCCAGGAAAATCTAAAAATTAAGAATAATAAGGTGTGTGTGTGTAAAACCAAAAATTAAAAACAAAAGTAATAAGAGGGATAAGCTCTCCAGTATCACCAGAAATTATAACATATTATAAAGCTGTAGTAATTAAAATAGTATGGAACCGAGCAGGAACTACAAGCGGGTAGAATGTATAGAATTCAGAATAAGATTCAGATATTTATGGTCATTTATTATATAGTTAAGGTGATGTTTTAAATCAGCTTTGAGCCCGAGCCGGTTTGGCTCAGTGGATAAAGCATCAGCCTGCAGACTGAAAGATCCCAGGTTTGATTCCATCAAGGGCTCAATCCCCAGTAAGGGGCCTGCGGGAGGCGGTGATCAATGATTCTCTCTTATCATGGATGTTTCTATCTCCCTCCTTCCTTCCTCTCTGAAATCAATAAAAAATACTTTTTTTTTTTTTTTTTAAAGTCAGCATTGGGAAAAAAATCAGCATTGAAAAGTTTGATAGGTGTCGGGCAGCTTTCTAGTAAAAAGTAACAAAATTTATTTTCATAGAAATAAGTTCCAAATGGGCCATTATTTTTTTATTGGTTAATTTTAGAGAGAGAGGAGGGAGAGAGATTGATTTGTTGTTTCACCTATTTATGCATTCACCGGTTGCTTGTATTGCCCTGACTGGAGATCTAACCACAATTTTGGCATATTGGTAAGATGTGCTAACCCAGTGGTCAGCAAACTCATTAGTCAATGGAGCTGCAGTTTGCCCACCGCTGCAATTGAGCTACCCAGCCAGGGTCTCAGCATTTACATTTTTTAAAAAGACATGCAAGTATAGGAAGAAAGCGTTGTTGGGTGTATTCATAATCTTAGCGCAGCAAAATTCTTCTAATTAGGTGATGCAATTCAGAATAAGGAAAAGATGAATACTTTTGACTCAAAAATTTAAAACCTTCTGTATGGCCTGCAAAATTTCACCAAATCAAACAAACAAACAAAAAAGCTCCTTCCTATAAGCTACGTCTAAAGACAATTTTGTGAAAGTATTTGTTTAATGATTGGTTAGAAAAATATTAAACCCAACAGGAAAATAAGGAGAGTACATGAACAAGGAAATCAGAAGAAACACAAGTGGCCAGTATAAACAGTGAGAGATGGCCATCTCACTCATTTTAAAGTGCTAATTAAAACTAAATGGGGACGCCTCTCTAGGAGAGAGAAAAAGGATTAGAAATAGTATTAGTGGGAGTAAAAGTTATAATGTTTTGTAGGGCACTTAGCCATTCAACAGGTAGGAATTTATTCTACAAATATGGAAAGTGCACAAAAGCATCATGTTCAAAGATGATTGATATATTTTTAATATGTTTTTATTGATTTTAGAGGGCTGCCTCTGACTGCTATTGGTAATATTGTTTTACTAGCAAAATTTTTTTGGGAAAAATTTCAATTTGTATATAACTAGTTTAATTATGGTATATCTATAAAATGGAATACTGTGCAGCAGTTTTTTTTTTTTTAAAGATCCCTAAGTACCAACATGGAAAGATGTGAAAAAATATGAAGTTAAGTGAAAAAAGTGTTGTAAAATGGTTCATATGATAAAATGCTATTTTATAAATAAAACTACAAATTAATGAATGTATAAAAAGAATCTAGAAGACTATACCTCCATGTTGACCAGTGTCACTCCAATAAACTTAATGTAAAAATGAAAAAGGAAAGGAAAAATAAGACTATACCTTGTGTTAATGGTAGTGAGCAGTAAGGAATCCTGGTCTCCCACAGGCATAAGGTGAGGGCAGGGCAGGGCCATGGGATAGGCTGGTGGGAAGGCCAAGGCAAGAGATACGAGGTCACCAAGGTTGGCCGTAAGTTTTTGCAGCTCTGCGTTTCACTCTCAACCTTGAAGAATTGCAGAGATTGCATAGGTAGGTTGCATTAAATTAGAAGAAGTAGATTCTTTTGTTTCTTTTGGGGTCTTTCTTTTGGACTGTTGGTTATTGCTTTTCTTTTTCTGATCTCTTCTTTTTTTCCATAGGTAACCATGGAGAAGGAGCTTCGGAGCACCATTCTTTTCAATGCATACAAAAAGGAAATATTTACCACCAACAATGGCTATAAATCCATGCAGAAGAGGCTTCGGAGCAATTGGAAGATTCAGAGGTGATCTTGTGGATTGTTTTCCCTTCCAGATAATAATTGCCTCCTGCTAAAGCTGAAATATTTTGTTTTATTATGTAGGCCAGATTGTTTAGGTGGGAAGAGCTCAATTTAAAGATCATTCAAAAATAAATAAATTATTAAAGCATCTCTTGGAAAATTGGCCGTTAGCATATTATTAAGTCGTCCCCCAAATCACACAAAAATTATTCGCATTACACATTTACAACTTTTTAAGAGGTTAGAGGTATTCTCCATATTTTAACTTAGGTTATATTTCAATCTAGAGAAAGGAAAAATGAGGATATTTCTCTCCTTTTGTGTGTGGGTTTTTCTTCATGGGTAAGGATATGTAATCATACAGCTAATGGTAGATGTGATTGCATTGGCGGTTGGAGGATTCTTTCTGCTCCGGCGTAGTTTAACGTGGCTCATAGGAAACATCTGAGCAGGGCGGTGGCTCTGGTGTAGCCGGTAGAGGAGATTCTCCCTGTGGGCGGGGCTGCAGTGGCACCTCTAAGCCCCTCTATTCCCAGGCCTCAGTAGCCTCTGGTTCCATACAGTCCAGAGGCTTGCGTGACATAAATTGGTTTAATTATGGATCTAACACTTGCTTTTAAAATTATATTTGTAGCTTAAAAGATGAAATCACATCTGAGAAGTTAATTGGTGTGAAACTGTGGATTACAGCTGGGCCAAGGGAAAAATTTACTGCAGCTGAGGTAAGAAATACCCTTTAAAAAATATTAAAATAATAAATAAATACTTATAAAGGAGAAATATAATGAAATGGTTAGGAGCCTGGGCTCTGAAATCCTGGATTTAAACTCTTATTCACCACTTACTGTGTTGCCTTCAGGTACTGACTTCATCTCTTTTTTGATCGAGTTGTGATGGTTAAATGATATAATGAACGAAAAGTGACAGACATGTGCTATAGGCTCATTAAATATTAGTCATAATTCTTTGCCATATTTTTGCTTTGAAAGTAGGAAAATTCTATTTTAAATTAAACCGGTTTTTTTATTTTATTTCATGGACTAGACAAAGAATGATAAATGTAAAACCCAGAACACAAATAGCAAGTGTTGGCAAAGATGTAGAGAAATTGGAACCCTTGTGCTCTGTTGGTGAAAATGTAAAATGGTGCAGCCTCAGTCAGTATGGAAAAAGTATGGTGGTTCCTCAAAATTAAAAATAGAATTATCCTATGATCTAGCAGTCTTGCTTCTGGATATACATATGTCCAAAAGAATTGAAAACAGGAACTCAAAGAGTTAGTTACTTGCACACCCAAGTTTATATAAGGCACGCTAGCCAAAAGGTGGAAGCAATCCAAGTGTCTATTAACAGATGAATAATAAACAAAATGTGGTCTATCCATACAATGATTTATTATTCAGCCTTAAAAAAGAAGGCAATTCTGATACATGAATGAATTTTGAGAATTTTATGCTAAGTGAAATAAGCCAGCCACAAAAAGACAAATACTGGCCGAAACCAGTTTGGTTCAATGGATAGAGAGCATTGGCTTGGGGACTGAAGGGTCCTGGGTTCGATTCCGGTCAAGGGCATGTACCTTGGTTGTGGGCATATCCCTGGTAGGGGGTGTGCAAGAGGCAGCTGATTGATGACTCTCTCTCATTGATGTTTCTAACTCTCTATCTCTCTCCCTTCCTCTCTGTATAAAAATCAATAAAATATATTTAAAAAAAAAAAGACAAATACTGTATGATTCTATTTATGTGGTGTATCTAGAGTAGTCAGATTCATAGAGAGAAAATTATAATGCTACTTGTCAGGGGTGGGGAAGAGAAGTGTGGAGTTGCTGTGTAATAGATATAGAGTTTTCATTTTGTGAGATGAAGAGTTCTATAGATTGGGTGCATAGTGATATGAATATATTTAATACTACTGAACGTACATTTAAAATGGTTAAGATGGTAAATCTTATATGTATTTTACCACAATTAAAAAACAAAACAAAAAAAACAACAAAAACCCACAACACAGCAAGAGCCATTCGCACAGAGACTTGGAAGAGTGCCTGGGTGCCCAGGGAGGGTTGTGGGGAGCAGGGGGTTGAAGCTAGGGTGGGCCAGGTCTCTGTTCTTATATTGGGGAGGTGGGGGCAGAAGGATGCCCACAGGGGAGCATTTCTCTTGTCCTTTTTGTCTCAACCTAATTGCAAGGCCACCTCATCCAGGAAGGGCATCAAGAGGCAGCTCTTCCTCAGGTGAACTGAGAGAAGGAGTAGGAGTTGCTATTGGGAACATGGAGGTGACCAGCTGCCCCTCAGTGAGACCCTGCGGGAGATGTTTACGCAGCTGATAATGGCCTGCACAAGATAACTTTATTTGCTGGGCTTTGGCCTAACTCCAATATAGTTCCCCCTCACCAGCTCCTTCTCCACCTGGGGAAGACAGGGAAGTGACCAGGTCCTTGCCAAGGAGCAGGCAGCCTCAGGAGAGTGAGAGTATCCAGAGAGAGGGTCAGCGACCAGTGCCTGGGGACATTGGCAATCTCTGGAGACGTTCTGGGTTGTCGGGAGCGGCAGGTGCAGTTGGCATCTAATAAGCAGAACCCAGGGATGTTGCTGAGTAGAGACCGGTGAGCTTCCTTTAGCTAATAGTTTCCCACTTTTAGTTTGCCTATCAACTTGGAAAATGTCGCTTTAATTTGAGTATTTTGGAATTTTACGTTTAAAGACAAGCTTGGAAATCCTACGAGGAAAGTAAGTGTTATATACATTTATATTTAGATGCTCATAGATTTGGAGTGTTCATTTTTCAGATGGTTAAGATCTTGTTCATGGACTGTTTTTCCTTTGTGTAGTTTGAGGTCCTGAAGAAATACCTTGACGGCGGTGGAGATATCCTTGTGATGCTAGGAGAGGGTGGGGAGTCCAGATTTGACACCAATATTAACTTTCTCCTGGAAGAATACGGAATCATGGTTAATAATGGTAATAATAATTATTATAATTAATTTAATAGAGGCAGTACTTTCCTATTTATCATTCATACTGTAGCCCTCTGCACCTCATAGTACAATGGAAAACCCCTGGGCTATGAGGTACATGGCCCAGCATTCTGGCCTCACTGGCAGCTGGACCTTCTGGGCCTGGGCTTCCTCTGTTATAAAGTGAGAGGGAGTGGAACAGAGTTTCAGGGTTCCTTTCAGGTCAAAGTTTAAGCGTCTTTACTAGTAATATCAAAGTTGTAATCTGAAATGTGCCTTCCTCTCTTTTCCCCTTAAAGATGCTGTGGTTAGAAATGTATATTACAAGTATTTTCATCCTAAAGAAGCTCTAGTTTCCAATGGAGTCTTGAATAGGTAAGCATGTTGAAAGCAGAAATGTCTTTATAAGAGACTCTCATCTTTCCTACATGAATCTTCCCTCAACTCTTCTCCCCACATTCATTTCACGGGCCCTTTTTTCTCTTTCCCTTTGTTTTATTTCATTTTATTGTATCATAATTTATTTACTGTATTACTTCTCATCCATCAATTTATATTCCTCCCATCTGTTGAAACTTTACTAAACATTCACCCATTGTCAATTTTTATTTTATTTTATTTTACTTATCCTTTTTTTAATTTTTATTCTCATCTGAGGATATTTTTTCCATTGTTTTTCAGAGAGTGGAAGGAAAAGAGGAAGGGAGGGGGAGAGAGAAACATAGATGTGAGAGGGACGCATTGACTGGTTGCCTACTGCACTCACCCCAACCTGGGGTGGGGAGCGAACCCTGGACCTGGAATCGAATCCCCAACCCTTCAGTGAGAGGGGCGGCACACTAACCACTGAGAACACCAGCTAGAGCACCTTCTTTGTCAGTAGAATACATTCAGTTACAGCAACAGAAAACCCTATTCAAATGGGACTAAACACTAGAGAGACTATTGATTCGTGTAATTGAAAAGCTCAGAAATAGGCAGATTTTGGATACGGATTAATGGAAAATACATGATGTCTTCAGGGTTCCAATTCCATTTCTCTACAAGTCTCTTGGATGTGCTCTCCTGAGTGTGTGGGCTGAACAGTTTTAACAGTTCTCAGATTCTGCTCCGCTTGCCACACCGCCTGGGGAGAGAGTGCCGGGTCCCAGCATTCCCATCAGGAATAGAGCTGACATTTGCCCTGTTTGAGCTGGCCTAGGCCACAAGCACATCCAGGCCGGTCACGGTGGCAGAGAGCATAGAGTGTCCTGATGGCACAGCTAAGGCATGTTCTCTGGCCCTGGAGCCAGGATGAAGTCAGTTTTTCTGATCCATTGTGTCTGAGAACATGAATTAGGGGCCCTAGGGAAGTGGGAAGTGAGTGCCTGCGGGGAACAACATCCGGTGCCCTCTGTGAGCTTTTCCCTGTGTGCAAAATGATTCCACACTTGAACTTGCTACATGGCGGGTACTCTGCTGGCTCTGATGTATCAAGTTCAATCTGAGAACTGTTAAAACTATTCAGCCCACACACTAGTCTAGAATGTGGGTTTAGTATATGGACCCCCTCTCAGATCTCAAAAAACAGGAACTGATCCCTATACTTTAATGTTAACTTTTGCAAGTTTCCCAAAAGAGGAATAGGTTTGTAGTGGGTATATAACTTTAGTTATTAAGAATTGTGTCTTGCCTGGACTGGTTTGGCTCAGTGGATAGAGTGTCGGCCTGCGGACTGAAAGGTCCTGGGTTCAATTCCGGTTAAGGGCATGTACCTTGGTTGCGGGCACATCCCCAGTAGGGGGTGTGCAAGAGGCAGCTGATCGATGATTCTCTCTCATCAATGTTTCTAACTCTCTATCTTTCTCTCTTCCTCTCTATGAAAAGTCAATAAAAAACATATTTAAAAAAAAAAAAAAAAGAATTGTGTCTTAAACAAGTCTGCAAAGTCCTCACATGTAGTTTATGCTACCAATGGAGGGTGAAAGTCCTAAATTGTTTTGGTTTACTTGATTTTAATATTCTTCTTCAAGGGAGATTAGCCGAGCTGCCGGGAAGGCTGTGCCTGGAATCATTGAGGAGGAGAGCAGTGGGAACAATGCCCAGTGAGTGTGTTTCTGAGGCTCCTGAAGATGGTGCTTTTGTCATTCTAAAGCGTTTTCTTCCAAAATGAAGAGCTTTTTGAGTGGTTCAAATTATATGATTGTCCAGACACTGCTGTTCACCTGAAACTAATACAAGATAATATTGAATATATATAAAAATAGAAAGCAGAAGCAGGTATAATACTAAGGGAATTTGTAAAAAAGTAAAAAAGAATTCTTCTGAAACAAAATAGAAGTCCTTTAAATCTATGCCAAAGATAATGTGTCTTAATAGTATGGTATTTAGATTTCTGGATATTTTTCATGTATAAAAATATTTAATGACTAGATAAAAATTGGATGTATCTGAACTTGTCTCATCTCTTATAGAACATATAGGTAATTTATAATATTTTGCTTTAATAACATCATCTAATTTATGAAGTACTTGCTATGTGAGAGGGATGTATTATCTCATTTAATCCTCACAAACAAATTAGATATGTACCCTGACCCAGAATCAAACCCGTAACCTTTTGGTGTATTGGACAACAACTCCAAATAACAGGGAATAAATTAAACTCTTAATAGGGGACTCCTCATGCCTCTCCTCAAGCTCCCAGGTTTCTGACTTCATGCCTTGGTTTTAACATTGTGTGTTCATTCTGAGAGCACTTCCTTCAACCATCTGCCTTTGCAGAGCTCCAGCTTGTTTCTAGTATAAGCCCTTTCTATATTGGTTGGCTTTACCCCAGGATCTGCATCCTCCTCTCCCTCCCCTCCACGCCACGTCCTTTCCGTGAGTGCGTTGCCCAAGTCAGACTGACTCACTTGAGATACCTAAGTCTTTGTTAGGACGGGTCTGTGCGGAGTGTTCAGTGGGGTAGATGCTTGCCCCTGTTCATGTGAACACGCAGTGGGTAACACCTTCTAGTGCTGGGCCTTCATTCTCAGAGAGAGCACAGTCGGATCTGTCAGGCAGAGGAAAACGTCATGCAGAGCAGGCTCCTGTGGAGTTCTGGTCCCGTTCTCAGAGGAGGCCCCTCTTCCCCTCCACAGGGACCACTTTAGTTCTCCGAATTCGTCATTTGATTCACATTCATATTTCTTAAAGTGCTTTATTAACCTGGTAGCTAGAATTACACTAGTATTAATGTTTGTATTAACTAATCAAAGCTTAGAGGATATTTTGTGTTGGACGATGAATTACTGAGGAAACACTGAAATTACCTTTTTTTAAAATTATATTTTTGCCGAAACCAGTTTGGCTCAGTGGATGGAGTGTCGGCCTGCAGACTGGAAGGTCCCAGGTTCGATTCTGGTCAAGGGCATGTGCCTTGATTGCGGGCACATCCCCAGTAAGAGATGTACAGTAGGTGGCTGATCGATGTTTCTGGCTCTCTGTCCCTCTCCTTTTCTCTCTGTGAAAAAAGTCAATAATATATATATATATATATATGTGTAAAGAAGTCGTCCTTATGAAAAAAATAAAATTAAAATTAAAAAAAAATATTTTTTAAAATTAATTTCTGAGGAAGGGAGAGGGAGAGAGATAGAAACATCAATGATGAGAGAGAATCATTGATTGGCTACCTTCTTCACGTCCCCTACTGGGGATTGAATCTAAAACCTCTGCTTGTGCCCTGACCGGGAATCAAACCATGACCACCTCCTACTTCATAGGTCGATGATCAACCACTGAGCCATGCCAGCCAGGCTGAAATTATCTTCACAAAGTTTTTATTCATTATTTTTAAAAGTTGGAATGTCTCTTTAATGTTTACAGGGCTCTCACCTTTGTATATCCTTTTGGTGCCACATTGAGTGTCATGAAACCAGCAGTTGCTGTTCTGTCCACGGGTTCTGTCTGTTTCCCACTGAACAGACCCATTCTGGCTTTCTATCACTCTAAGGTACAGCCTTTCTTAGACGTGAGAGGATGTGTTCTTTTGTTATTGAAGTGGTAAAAGCTCCTGTTTCTAGAGGGGTTTCATGTACAGTATTTTTTCATTGGTCTGCTCAACAGTCCTACAAAGTGGCATTTCAGTGATCTACATTTTACTTATGGGGATAATTTACTTATGGGGATAATTGATGGAACAAGCTTTTATCATTCTTAATCCAAAGCTTTCCATTATAGCATGAGGCTATCTCTGTTATAACTTTCTTTTAATTAAAAAAAATTTTTTAGCCTCACCTAAGGATATGCTTATTGATTTTTTTGAAAGAGAGAAACATTGATGTGAGAGAGAAACATTGATTAGTTGTCTCCTGTATGTGTCCCAACCCAGGGATTATAAACCTGCAACCTTGATGTATTTGGACAACACTCTAACCAACTGAGCTACCCGGCTAGGGCAAATGGATTTATTTCTAATTTTTTTGTGATTATAACTGTAAAATAGTGCATAAGTTTTTAAATATTTCAGACTGCTTTGTTGCGTATGTTGACAATTTTAACAACGTTGTGTGAAAGAACTGAAACCTGATCAAAACTTTTAAAAATCATTTTGACATATTTATTAATCTAATAGTAAAAAATGCTTTATTTTGATTTGTTTAAAATTATTAATATTGAACTTTTTTCATTGCTGTTGTGAATTTTTCATGCTCATGGCTTAGTTTTCTGTTTGGGTCTTAGTTAACTAATACTTTTTTTGGTACTGGAAAACGTCTTGAATTCTCTTTGGATTTATCTTTTCCTTTGATTTATCTTCATTTGTAAGATGACAGTGGGAAATGCTATAGAACCAATTCGCAGTGTTTTTTGGTTAAAGTCCAATAGAAGTGTCTAAAACGAGAAGCAGGTTGGAAAGTGGTTATTATCATAGTTGATATTTCTAGACTGATGAAATCCTAATGAGAATTGGCACTTATTTATATACAAGACAGTTGCTTATGTAATTCTGATGATGGTGTTTGGAAACTAGGGTGTGTGCAGTGCATTATGGGACCCTAATATCTGGTGCTGCTTTGTCATTTGCAGAACCAAGGTGGGAAGCTGGCAGTGCTTGGCTCATGTCACATGTTTAATGACCAATATTTGGATAAAGAAGAAAATAGCAAAATCATGGTAAGCTTTTCCCTTTTACCACATGAATGTATAATGTATAAATGTGATTTTCATGTCATTTAAAAAAATACTGCCCAATCCAGTTTTTCATTTAAAACCAGCTGTCCATTATGTGCCATGCACTAAGAATACGAGGTTGAGTCAGGCATAGTCTCTACTTTGAGACTGTGTAATGCAGAGAGAGAGCGAGCGTGAGAGACCTAGAAGGAAATCCAGAGGATGCAGCGAGTGTTTCTGAGCATGCCCACTTAGAGGGGAGCCGATCCGGGGAAGTGCTTGGGAACAGGCCCAGTCAGGGTCTCAAGTACAAAGTTCAGGAGCTTGAACTTTGCAGAAAGCTTCAGGCACCCTGCAAGGTGTTGAGCAGCCTTGGGCATAGTGAGATCTGAGCTTTAGAAAGACCCTGGGTAAGGTGTATGGAGAGTGGAAAGGAGGAGGCAGCCTGGGGCCAGTGCTGAGGCTGGTGGAGTCAGCAGGTAAGAGGAGAGAGGGCCTGAAGGGAGGTGCTGAATGAGGAGAGGGGGCTAGCAGGCACGAGCAGTATTTAGGAGGGGGTATTTATTTACTTATTTTGTTCATCCTCATGTGAAGATAATTTTTCCATGATGTTTAGAGAGAGTGGAAGGGAGGGAGAAAGGGAGAGAAAGAAACATTGATGTGAGAGAGACACATTGATTGGTTGCCTCCAGCACACACCCAGACTGGGGCCAGGAATTGAACCTGTAACCCAGATAACGTGTCCTTGATCAGGAACCCAACATGTGACCCGTCAGTGCACGGCCAACACTCTAACCACTGAGCACAGGGCTAGGAGGGGTCACCGATTGATGTGGGGAATGAGGTACAAGTGTGGCAGCTGCTTCAGAAGAGTGTGAAGGAGACCTGTGAAGGGTGACAGACTGTGCGTGCTCAGCTGTCCATTGATGTGATTCCAATGACTCACTTCCCAGAAGAAGAAACTCTCATTTTTCATTAATGAAATGCAGTCCTTCAGCCTCGGAGACTTGAGGCCTCAGGACTCTAGGTGTTGGGAGATGAATTAAGTGTTTGATTCTGTGGAACCCACATGAAGTTCCATTGTCACTAGACACAGTCTGGGAAGATCTAAGTATATTCTCTGATTTAAGTTCAGACTTTTTAGCATATTAAACAGGGATTGCTTTGGTACGGAACATGTTTTAATCAAATCTGGCTTGTGGCCGAAACCGGTTTGGCTCAGTGGATAGAGCGTCGGCCTGCGGACTGAAAGGTCCCAGGTTCAATTCTGGTCAAGGATGTATCTTGGTTGCGGGCACATCCCCAGTAGGGGATGTGTAGGAGGCAGCTGATCGATGTTTCTCTCTCATGGATGTTTCTAACTCTCTATTCCTCTCTCTTCCTCTCTGTAAAAAACCAATAAAATATATTAAAAAAAAAATCTGGCTTGTGGTTAGAGGATAGAATGCCCTAAGATAAATTTCCCATTAATGAAAGTGGCATTACAGTGAGGAAAACTTAAGTTTTTATATGATTTCACAAAGAGGAAGGTGGTACTCTTATTTGAATCACTGGTTCAGTCTTTTTCCTGTTATCAATTTTTCTTTATTGATTGAATTCTCTATTCCTGCCTTTGACTTTCTCAAATAACCAAGTGTTTAATTCCGGCTTGTTGTCTTTTAATTCAGGATGTTGTTTTCCAGTGGCTTACAACAGAAGACATTCATCTAAACCAGATTGATGCTGAGGATCCAGAGGTAGGAGGTTGTGAATAATTAAAAAGACTTAAATGAAAATTGAGTCCATCTTCTCAGCACCAGTTCTACCAGTATGAAGGGAATAGATCTCTTATCTTGTCTGTAAGACAGATGGCAAGAAGTGATGCTTGTTGGGGAGATGAAGGCTGTGTTGTAAAAAGTAGTAAGTTAAATTACATAATTATAGAATTTGTTGGCATGGGAGCCTCTATATGTATATAATAATTGGAATTTTAAAATATGGTGCCTGGTCCAAATTTTCAAAATCAGTATCTGTAGAGTATTTACTTCTTTCAGAAATATGAAGGCTATAAAAATAGTTTTTTCATGAAAGAAATCATCTGACGTGAATCCAGTGACATGGATACAAGCATGAGTAATCGGAGAGGTGGATTTGGCCAGCATTGGGGGTGCGGGAAGTGACTCAGTGGCTTATTTAAGGGTGTTGTCGGTGATCAGGAATGGTGGAATCTCTTGGCAAGAGATTATACATACTGCAGACTTAGACCTGAGTCACTGGATTAAATTCTTCCTTCTGCCCTGCTGAAAGGAACCCTCTATGGCTTTCAGATTTCTGACTACATGATGCTGCCCGACACAGCCACCCTGTCCGAGATGCTCCGAGTGTGTCTCCAAGAGGGTGACGAGAACCCACGGGACTTCACCACCCTCTTTGACCTGTCCATTTACCAGCTGGACGTCACCTCCCTCTCCAGGGTCATCAAGTCAGTACCGAGGCTCCCTGGGCTGCACGGCCTTCATTCTGAGGGTTTGGATTAAAACATGAGCCTGAGCCTGGGGCGGGGGTTAGGGTCACCACAAACGTGTCTGCAGAACACATTCTCAGGTCTAGGATGAGGTCGACAGAGAGGGCTGGGATATCGGGGTGGGGGTGCTGACGCAGAGGGAACGGCTAGCGTTGTAAGTCCTCACTGTGTTTCAGGAGCTGTATCGGCCTTTTAGGTGATGAACTTGTTCTGGTTTGCCTCGGACTGCCCTGGTTTTATTCATTTATTTTTAGTTTTTATTTATTGATTTGAGAAAGGGGGAGGAGGGAGGGAGAGAGAGAGAGAAAGAGGAGGGAGAGAGAGAGAGAAGGAGAGAGAAAAACACGGATGTGAAAGAGCATCGGTCAGTTGCCTCCTGGAGACAGAACCAACCACAATTGAACTGGCAACTTTTTTTTTTTTTTTAATATATTTTATTGACTTTTTATAGAGAGGAAGAGAGAGGGGGTAGAGAGTCAGAAACATCAATGAGAGTGAATCATCGATCAGCTGCCTCCTGCACACCCCCCACCAGGGATGTGCCACAACCAAGGTACTTAACCCTGACCGGAATCAAACCTGGGACCCCTCAGTCCGCAGGCCAACGCTCTATCCACTGAGCCAAACCGGTTTCGGCTGAACTGGCAACTTCTTAGTGCATGGGATGACACTCAACCAAGTGAGCCGCCAAGGCCCTTGATAACTATTTTCACGCCTGGTGGCTAAAACTCGCTGCATATTCAATAAATATTTGTTGAGTGAATAAGCACACAGATGTGGATGTCATACAGATCTATTTAGCTACTACATGCAGACTTCAGATTTGAGTACTGTTTGCTGCTGGTAAAAACAAGTAAGGCTCAGCCAGCATGGTTCAGTGGTTGAGTGTTGACCTGGGAACCAGGAGGTCAGGATTTGATCCCTGTCAGGGCACATGTCTGAGCTGTGGGCTCAATCTTCAGTGTGAGATGTGCAGGAGGCAGCCGATCAATGACTCTCTCATCATTGATGTTTCTATCTCTGTCTCTCCCTCTTCCTACCTCTGTGAAATTAGTTAAAAGAGAAAAAAACAGGTGCCTTATTAAAAACACAAACAAATAAAAAGCAAATAAGGAAACTGAGTTGAAAGAATCAGTGTTCATTGGGTAACAATAAAAAGCCTACTTAGGAGAAGCCTGATGTAAAACTTTTCCCTTTCACTTCTCAATGAAGTTGCACTCTGTGATGCTGTAGAGAAGATTCAGGAAAGGATTATTACATTTTTTCTACAGAAGTGCTGAACCGCCGATTTGATGGAGAAGAGCACGGTATGATCTGTTAGATGCTCTTCGCACAGTTTCTCTCATCTTGATCTGGCTCTTCTTTCTTCTTATTAACACAGGGCTTATGAGCAGCTCAACGTGAAGCATGAACCGCTCCAGCTCATCCAGCCTCAGTTTGAGACCCCGCTGCCTGCCCTGCAGCCGGCGGTAAGGAGGTGTGCTCGGGGGATCCCACTGCAGAAACCCACTGTGGGCCCTACCCGCACAGCTGGGCCCTCCTGTGGATCTCTCAGGTGCTGTCTGTGCCACTCCTCATGGAGGGTCATTTCTCTGGCTCTCACCATGCAGTCACCAAACCTACTAGGATTCTGCAGAGACTTTTATTTGGTTTAGTTCCCAACTGAGAAATCAAGGGCATAGACATTTTTTGCTGTTAAACATTCTCCATGTTGGGTTGGAGGGCATAAGTGAGGATTTTGAGGAAAAAGGAGGAAAAGTGTCGTGCTGCAGCTTTCTAGGCAACAGGCACTCAGACTCAGCACAGTTCTGACAGCCTGGGGCATGGTCATGGCATCAAGGTGATTTCCCAGCATTCCAGTCCAACAGTTACTCAGCTTGTTTTCAAAAACTGATTTGTCCCACCACTTTCTGAAATATTCTGAGCCATTTGGCTTCGTCTTGGTAGCTTGAAATGGCCAAGTGGAAGTATTTACATCACAGAGAAATCACAAATGGGGAAGGGCAGGAAGAGGTGATGGGTGGTCATTTGTTGGTCTCTCATTTCCCTTACGCCTCATCGCTGCTAGGTTGGCTTTGGATTTGCTCTCTCATGACAGACCTATTTCTTCTAGGTTTTCCCTCCCAGTTTCAGGGAATTGCCACCCCCTCCCCTGGAGCTATTTGACCTGGATGAGACCTTCTCCTCTGAGAAGGCACGGCTTGCCCAGATTACCAATAAGTGTAAGTTTAGCCAAGTGTGTGTCTGTCTTTTGTGAGTTTTATTTCATTGTGAACTTCTGAGAGATGTTGTGAGAGAAAGCTTAGCATTTATTTAGGGAGAACAAACTATGAAAGGGAGTGTAGAGTTAGTTTTTGTTTATTTCATGTAAATTTCTCTCCAGGCCAGTTAGCTCAGTGAAGTAGAACATGGTGCTGAGCAGAAGCCAAGTCTCAGCTGTAATCCCTGTAGGAACTTAGTTTGACCTGTCCCGTGACCACAGAGTGAATTCTGAGCCAGGCTGCCACATAGCAAATCTAAGATGCTAGTCATAGGAGCAGTTAAGTAGGAAAATGCAGTCAGGGCCAGAAGAATTAGAGAGACTTCAAATTGGGTCCTTCAAAGGAATCCTAGAGAATCAAGCTTGCCTCCTTACATGTGGATGAGGAAATGAGACCCAGTCCACACAGCTGCATGGGGAGTGGTACTCCTGACTCAGTCCAGTGCTCCCCCTGACGTGCACGGCCTCCAGCACAGAAAATGGGCCTGCACACACGTGCTGAGAGGCATCAACTTAACCACTTGGAGGCAGAGGCCCCCTCCTGGGAATCTCAGGAGATAAATGAAGGTAAACAGATGACGACTACATTATTTTCCTAAAAAATAAAATACAGTTGGGAATGATTCTGGAATTCACTAGCAGGGGAATGATAGTAAATTGTGCCACATTCAATGGATGGGACAATATGCAATCGTTATAAAAGAAGTTTTAAAGGCCAAGGGAGGACACTGATAGAATTTAAGTGAGAATCCTAAATTAAGAAAGCAAGATAGAAAACCACATGTCCAGAAGAATCCCAGCTATGTGAACAATTGTATGTCCCAGAGACTAGAAAGGAGTATGCAAAAATGAAAATTGTTCTGCATCCCTGTTCTGCACCAGGCACTGTGGGTAGTGCTGGGCAATCAGAAATTAACAAGACATAGTCCAGTAGCAGTAATAGGCCAGTAATAATGCTGTGACCCAGCATTTCCGATTCCAGCAACTTATCCTACAGAAACTCTGGATAAATGCGAAACAAAAAAGATATAGCTATAAAGATACTAATTGTAGCATTCAGAAAATTGGCAACAGTCTACTGGCCCATTAGTAGGGGGATTGGTTAAAAAATACGAAAAAAAAGTAGAATGTTATGCATCTGTTGAAAGATTTAAGCTTTGACAGGGAATTCCATATTATATGGTAAAATGATGAAGGCAACTTATAGGACTATTATAGTTTGATCTCTTTTTTACACATATGTAAATATATAGGCATAATGGGGCAGTAATTACCCTAGGTAGTATTGGTGGGGATAGAGGTAGTACAAGAGCTGTATGGTTTGAATACTTTAATTTTAAAAATTAGATTTCAGTCATAACATTTAAAAAGGGAAGTCACGGGGGGGGGTGGGGGGGGGAGAAATTACAGTGTAAGGAGGGCAAATAGCTTTCCACCTTGATTATGAGGCTGCTGGGATGACTTCACAGAGATATGCTGATGATGGAGTATTGGGTGATTTTTTTCCACTTTAATTTCCACTTAATTCCTTTTCAGTAATATTGCTATAGTAAATGCTATTTAAAATACCTATGTGCCCTTCTCATAACGGTCCTTGCTCATTCAGAGAATAGTAATTTTATTTCCCATTGGGAATAGGAGGGCCAGAGCCAGTCTAGCTTTATTCTCATTAGGAGTGCCATACTTTTGTCCTAATTTATAAAAGCAGCACGTCAGAGACCTTTACAGTGTGTCCTGCAGTCACATTTCCCAAGGAAGAGGTGAGTGATCTTGGGAGATATAGGAACTTGACGGGGGTATCAAAATCACAACAAGTTTGTACTTGGGGAGGGGCAGAAGGTAAGGGTTAATAATCTAACTGCCCCATCTGTGTGTGCTTAGGTACCGAAGAAGACCTGGAATTCTATGTCAGGAAGTGTGGCGACATCCTTGGAGTAACCAATAAACTACCAAAGGACCAACAAGATGCCAAACACATCCTTGAGCACATCTTTTTCCAAGTGGTGGAGTTCAAGAAGTTGAACCAGGTACAGAGTCTAGAAGGCCCACTGCTGTGGGCGCCCTTCGTGTCAGTGTCATCCACCAACTGCGCTTTGTGCCCCTCGTTCACTCTGCACGTATTTATAAGTAACTGCTAAATGAACATAATGATCCCAGTACGTCACATATCATGCTGGGTAAGTGCTGTGCTATTAAAAAAGCAGAGCAGCGCAACAGTGGGCTGAATGTGGCAGAATTAAATAGGGCGACTAGGGTAGGTCTTACCACAATGCTGATACTGGAGCAAAGACGTGAAAGCGTTGAAGGATTTAGCCATGCAGATAGTGGGGGATGAGAGTCCCAGGCAGAGGGAAGATCAGAGATCATAATAATCTGGCCACTCGTGTATATAGTTAGGAATTTAGATGCTGAGTGGAAAGACTAGTCCGGGTCTGAGCCTTTAGTGGCAGTGGCTGGCCTGCTGGGTACTCATACTGTATGCCTCATATATACCCGGGATGGTGCTGGATGTCAGAGAGGAGGACCTATGATAAGATCTGTGTGCAGTGGGGCAGATGGGAATATGTGGGCATTTACAGTGCTCTAAGATAAAGGGCATCCAGAGAAGTGGAAGGGGGCTCAGGTAGACGCCCAACAGCACTTACCCTGGTGGCAAGGCAGGGACAGGCCCCAAGGCCAACTCTGATGGCTCTTTGCATCAGCACCTTCAATGGTATTTGCTCCCTGCTTACCGTGGTGGGTGAGGGGCAGTGGTCTAAAGCCTGCCCGGCAGTAAAAACTGGACTCTTGGGTTTAAAGCCAGAGATAACCTACTGGTATGTGTCCCAATTAATGATGTTCCCGAATCTTTAATCCAAGTCCAAAACACTAAACATCACATTTCAGACTTTGCCCTGAAATACTAAAATATATGTCTTATTCCCTCATCCAGGAACATGATATTGATACAAATGAAGCTGCATTCCAGACAATTTCTGAGGACGGTGCCTCTTGAAGCATTTTCTGCCTCCTTATTTGTAAACTTTTTCTATTGTTCCTTAATCCTTTATCAAAGTTGTCCATCTACTCTTCTATGAACTAGGGAAGGGTTGTATATCTTCTGTAGTGCTAGATAGGTAAAACATTTCTTAGAAAACCCTTATGTAAGATATGTTCCATTTTTTAAATTAAATGTGATTAAATCTGTACTTTTATAATTTATGAAATAGTCTTGCACTGAAGTCTTTTCTTTCATCTCCAGTCCTGCATTTGTCTTTATTTATTTAAAAATATTTTTATTGATTTCAGAGAGGGAGATAGATCAACATCATTGATGAAAGAATCATTGATTGGCTGCCTCCTGCACTCCCTCAATTGGAGATAAGAGCCTGCAATCCGGGCATGTGCCCTGACTAAGAATCAAACCGTGACCTCCTGATTCATAGGTCAACACTCAACCACTGAGCCATCCTGGCTGGCTCTTCTTTTTTAAAAAAAAAAAGTTTTTATTGATTTTCTTTCTTTTTTTTAGAGAAAGGGAGAGAAAGGGAGAGGGAGAAGAATATTGATCGGCTGCCTCCTGTCTGCAGTGGGGATTGAGTCAGCAACCTGGGCATGCATCCTGACCGAGAATTGAACCAGCAACCTTGATGCATGGGTTGATACTCAACCACTGAAACATACTGGCTGGGCCAGATTGGCAAGATTTCGATCCTTATAGCTTGGTGGAAGTATTGGAAGATGGGGGTTCTGAAGAATGAACTGTTTTGAACATAAGATTCCAATTGAGATGATAATATTAATTAATATAACCAGTAAATAATGGAAATCCCTAACTGGGGCTTAGAAAAGATATAGTCTCAAGATCTGAGTTCTCATGGAGTTGGTAATTGAAGCTATGAGAATAGTCTGTCGAGGAGTTAACATTTTTGGAAACCTTGGGAAGAAAGGTTCAAGTCACATCCAGAATTTCAGGTAACTCGGTCACGTTCAAGCCCTGTTCACAGACTTCCGTTCTCGCCTCCAGCCCTCGTGCAGGTCTCAGGGGAGCCGAGTGGGAGCAGGTGCTGGGAGGGGGGCCCCTCTGTTCAGAGGGCACAGTCTGGGAGCCCGCCGAGACAGCCGCTATAGAACCACAGGGGAGCGTTGGGAAAGGTAGTATTTAGAACACAGTGAAAACAATGTACTCGGCGATAATCTCCCAACCGAATGCTCTCCTCACCCTGTGGGCTTGACGCTTTGCCATCGAGAGCTGCGGACGTTTCCTCCCTCTTAATCTGGTACTCTGGTGCAGTGGTCGGCAAACGGTGGCTCTGGAGCCGTGGTTTACCGCTCGGTTGACTGAGTTTACTGCTCTGGTGGAAGTGACACACATCGACTTAGGACGTTAGGTCTGCTCAGGCTGTACAGCTTCCGCCTGACTCTTTACAGCCACAGGCTTCCAGGCAGAAACAGGAGGCCACTTGGGACAGACTACCCACATGGGCTCCACATGACTCCTCCTGGCATCCAGTCTCCCGTAGTCTCCGAGTTGTCCTGAAGCCCCAGACATGAGGGAGTGGAGACAAGCTGTCTTTGCTGTGACCTTTCTACCCACAGAACCCAGGGACAAAATGGCAGTTTTAAGCTATTACTTTGGAGTAATTTGTTATGTAACAATAGATAAACACATTTTGGATCTATCTGGATCTAATCCAAAACTTCACTTTCCAAAGGGGACAGAGGCCCACCACCACCAAAAACCCACCACAAACAACAAAAAGTGATAGCACCAGTCCTAGCAGGAAACAGCATGACAGTAACTCGTGGAGATTTTACTTGTTGAACTCAAATCCCTCTGTGATCAGAGAAACATTAGTGTCAAAAAGAGGAGGTAACACAAGAAAGGATGAGTGTAGGTGCCAAAACATCTTTCCTCTCCCCATGAGCAAGGAGGGACATTGGTGGAATCTGATGACTCATAGATTTACTGTGGCTCTCACTAATGTGCAACGAAGGCGGGTGAAGGACCACTGCAGCCCAGACCAAAGTAAAATTTAGGGAGCCTTTATGAGCCGGCCGGCCAGCCGACCAGCGACTGCTCTGCCTCTCCACGCAGGGAGACCAGAGAGCAGCCGCGACCCTTGGGCAGGACCCCTTTTAAGCTCATTAACCACATCCTGTTTTTGCAGAACCAATAACCCAAAACAGTTTTTCCCAAGCAACGTCAGGGTCACGCCATGGAGGACCATGTTCACAGGGTCATCCTGTTCTTCAGAAAGCTGGCAGTGAGCTATGAAAGAAGAACCACGTGCTCGGAAGGGGCCATGGGACGCATCTCAAGGCCTGGCCTGGCGTCAGCACTGACAATCCCGTCGGGGGCAGAGTCCACCGCCTGCCTCAAAAATGCCCGCTCTCCAACACGAAGTCACTTTTTACTCATAAAACCAAACATCAGACGTTTTCCACTCTGTTCTGTAAAAGGTCCTAGGGCTGTATGCATGCATGCCTTAACGACATTCAATTTAAAAGATTGTAAATAAAAAAAATGCAGGTGATACCCGAAAACGGACTAACGGATGAAGAAAACGCACTTCATCCCCGTTCCCAAGCCCTTCTCCCGCGGCCTTTCAGACAATCACACACTAATCACCCCGCCATTTGACACGCAGCCTGCCCGTGCCCCCTCCCGGGCTGCCGCGGCCCACGGTCCGGCCGGACAGAAAGGACCTTCCGAGAACTGCGAACGGCGCCCGCGGGCGGCCCGGGCCTGCGGGCCGCGGGCTGCCCGGGCGCCGGCCGGCGGGGCCGTCAGGCCGCTCGGCGCCGAGCGGAGCGGGGTCCGAGGGCCCTGGGCCAGGCCGGGCGCCGAGGCCGCCAGCACGTCCGAGGCCGGGATGGGCCCGCCCGCTGCCCTCAGCCCGGGCCCCGCTGCCCGCGCGGAGGCCTCCCGGGGGCGGCGGCGGCGGGAGACGCGGAACCGCAGCCCCGAGCGGCGCGGCGCGGGCGCCCTGGTGACGTCAGGCGGCGGCACTCCCGTGAGGCCCCGCGCGGCGCCCAGTCCGAGCGCGCGTCCGCGGAGGGCGCTTGGGCAGCGGGTGCGGCCGGCGGCCGGGGCTCGGGGCAGGCCGTCCGGGTCCGGGTCCGGGTCCGGGTTCGGGTCCGGGTCCGGGTCCGGGTCCGGGTCCGGGTCGGGGTCGGGGTCCGGGTCCGGTCCGTGCGGCGGGGGACGGGCGATGCGCTGGAGAATGTGCTGGGCGCCAGGCCGCTCCCTGGGCCCCGAGGACAAGCGCCAGAGCGGAACTGTCCTGAGGACCAGCTGGCGGGTCAGAAAAATAACCAAAGGTGACATCGTGCCGAAACCGGTGTGGCTCAGTGGTAGAGCGTGGCCTGCGGGCTGAAGGGTCCCAGGTTCGATTCCGGTCAAGGGCGTGTGTCTTGGTTGCAGGCACGTTCCCGGTGGGGGGTGTGCAGGAGGCCGCTGATGGATGTTTCTCTCTCATCAATGCTTGTAACTCTCTATCCCTCTCCCTTCCTCTCTGTAAAACATCAATAAAATATATTTAAAAAAAAAAAAAAAAAAAAAAGACCTGCACAGACACTAGAACCAGACAGGCCAGCTTTGAATCCCTGCTTTGCCGTGGACCAGCCCTCTGACCCGGGGGAGGCCTGTGGCTCAGTTTCCCCATCTGCCCAAAGAAGATAACCCTAATGCAGCCTCATAAGGTTGTTATGAGAATTACATGAATTAAAATTTGTGAAGCATACAGGACAGCAGTGGGCGCAGAATACAGTAAAAGCTATCTACGTTTTTAAAAAGATATATTTTATTGATTTTCCACAGAGAGGAAGGGAGAGGGATAGAGAGCTAGAAACGTTGATGAGAGAGAAACATCGATCAGCTGCCTCCTGCACAAACCCCTACTGGGGATGTGCCCGCAACCAAAGTACATGCCCTTGACCGGAATCGAACCTGGGACCTTTCAGTCCGCAGGCCGACGCTCTACCACTGAGCCAAACCGGTTTCGGCGTATCTATGTTTTTGATAAATCCTTTTACAGATGAGAAAACAGGCACAGAGGAGTTAAGAAATTTGCCTAAGACCACACAGCTAATCAGTGATGTAGCTAGGAATCAGACTTCAGGAAGTCTGCCTCAGAGCCTGCACTCTTCAATGCTGTGCTCTAGTGACGAAGTGGGGAAGTCCATGGGGGAAGTGGTTCCGGAAGCCCTGAATTAATGGACGTGGAAGCATCTAGCATTTGAGATGTCAGTGCTTCACCCTGGCCTGTGTGGCTCGATCAGTCTATCGACCAGTACCCAGAAGGGGGTGGGTTCTATTCACACTTGGAGCCTAAGAAAAGACGTCAGTGTTTCTTCTGCTGTGGTAAACAAAGTTTTCATCAACTGGCTAGACTGTCCCCAGTGTCCGGCAGTTTCTGGAAGAGGAGTCGGAGGCATAAGCAGGGACCAGAGACTGGGTTTCAGCTGGGTCTTCCCAAGCTCCAGCTAATTTACTTGCAGCATGCCTCCCAGGGAGCTGGGTGTGGGAAGTATCAAAATTACAACTTAAAATGGAAGTCATTGCTAAGCCTCTAGGAATTTAAGCACATGATAAAGAGAATTGGACTCAACAGTTGAAATGGACTCACTGGGCAGTTGGACATCCCTCTCACAATCCGGGACTGCTGGTTCCCAACCGCTCGCCTGCCTGATTGCCCCTATCCACTTCTGCCTGCCAGACTGATCATCCCCTAACCACTCCCCTGCCAGCCCGATCAATCCCTAACCACTCCCCTGCCAGCCCGATTGCCCCTACCTGCCCTCCCCTGCCAGCCATCTTTGACCACATGGGGGCGTCCATCTTATGTGTTGGAGTGATGGTCAATTTGCATATTATCTCTTTATTATATAGGATGATTTTTAGAGAAAGAGGGAGAGAGAGAAACATTGATAGGTTGCCCTCCTGTACATGCCCTGATCAGGGATCTAACTGGGAATCAAACGTGAAACCTTTGCATGGGTCGTAGCTCCAACCAACTGAGCCACCCGGCCAGGGCCATTTTACCACTTATTTATGTATCATAAAGGGGAAGCGATAAAGGAGTTAGATGAAATCCACTAGTGACAGATTGAGGAGGTGGGAGGGAGCAAAGCAGGGAAATCTCTGGGACTGATAGGATAAAAAAAGGAATAGATGGCGAGGGAGGGTATGTATTGGAGGAAGGGAGGGGGCAAACCCCCCCCCCAAAAAAATCAATAAAATATATTTAAAAAATAAATAAATAAAAAATTCAAACTAAAAAAAAAGAAATAGATAATTTTACTTTTGTGGGTATAGGATAGTGAACAGTAACAATTCATCTGATAAAATAACAAAGGGGATTGTGGTCTCTGCTGTAGTGGGTGGTTGTGCACTGAGGGGTTTGGGGGAAGCTGAGGGGGGGGGAGAAGGAAATTACCTTGACATTCTAAAGGTATGTTATTGTAGATGCAAAAAGACAACAAACAGGCCCAGGTAAGTTGACCTGTGTAAGGGAGAAGCACTGCCTTAGGACATGACTACCCACTGTGAACTGTTTTAGAAAGTTTCAATTCCAGACCTTCCTGTGCCGTTACTTTCCGTTTCTGAGTTTGTAAGGCCGCCCTGCAGGCCTCCCCTGAGCTGGTCAGGTTTAGAATATGGCCCCTTCCCATCTCTACTCCCCCTCACCTCCACCTGCACCACCTCCACCTGCACCACCTCCACCACCACCGCTCAAGTCAACAAGCAGGTTAGGGGCAGTGGACCCCAAGGATAACTACTCTGTTTCACTGAAAATAAGACAGTGTCTTATATTAATTTTTTCTCCCAAAGTTGCGCTAGGTCTTATTTTCGGGGAAACACGGTAGGTGGAGAGGAAGCGGTTCCCTGCTTTTGGGTGGGGGTGGTGGGGTGGTGGGGTGGTGGTGGGGGGATCGGGCAGAAGGCGATGATCCTGGTTACGGAGTGTTTTACCCAGAGGGAGAGAGGGCAGAGATTGAAGCCCCGGAGAAGCTGGATCAGGTTTACATTTTGGGGGGCTCACTCGGGCTGCAGGCTGCAGGGAAAGCAGGTGGGAAGGCGCAGCCCGGGTCCAGGTCGGGTGCGGGGCCGCTGCAGGCCGGAGGCGCAGCCGGACTGGCCCTGGGTCCCTCTGCGCTCCCGGCGGCTCACGCCCCCTCCTCCGTCCGGGCGGCGGTGCGGGCGCCTCGGGGCCACCCCGGCCACACCGAGCTGGTCCTTAGCCCCGCGGCGCCCCGCCCAGAGCCGCCCCGAACCGGTCCTCCCCGCCCCGGGGCTTCAGGGCTCCGCGCCGCTGCCCGCCGCCCGCAGCGGCCCCGTCCTCAAGCCCCGCCCCGCCCCGCCCGCGAAGCCCCGCCCACCGAAGCCACGCCCCAGAGATCCGCCCGCCCCGAAAGCCCCGCCCCCGCCCCCGCCCACCCGAAGCCGCCCACCGAAGCCCCGCCCCCGCCCGCCCCGAAGCCCCGCCCCCGCCCGCCCCGAAGCCCCGCCCACCGAGGCCCCGCCCCCGCCCGCCGTGCCCCGCGCGCCCGGCCGGGCGGGCCGCGCTTGGCGGGAGATAGGAAAGTGCTGTGCGCGCCGGCGGCGGCTCCTGCGGCGGCTCCTGCGGCGGCTCCTGCGGCGGCGGCGCGGCGACGCCTCCAGCGCGGCCCGGAGCCCGGAGCAGCCCGCCTCGCACCCCGGCCCGGCTCCCGCTCCGGGCTCCGCGGCGGCAGCGAGCGCGGCGCGGCCCGGGCCGGGGGGATGTCTCGGCGGACGCGCGGGTGAGCGGCGGCGGGCGGGCGGGCGGCAGAGGGCCCTCCCCTCTCCCTGGGTTTCCCCCACCCCGACCCCTGCCCGCACCCCGACCCCTGCCCGACCCCGACCCTGCCCGACCCCGACCCTGCCCGACCCCGACCGGCCCCCCTCGCTCACCCCCGGAGCGGGCCGGCGTGCGGGCCCCGCGGGAGCCCTGCGCCCAGGCCGCCGGGCCGGGGGCGCACGGAGCCGGGTCCTGGGGGCTCCGCGCTCGCTGGGCTCCCCGCCTGCCGGGCCTCGGGGCCGGGCGGTGGGTCCCGGGCATCCGGGCCGAGCCCCGGTGATGTCACGTCGCCTCCCGCCTAATGGCGCGGCGGGCCCGCGGGAGGGCCATTGTGGGCGCCGGGGCCCCGGCAGAGGGGGCGCTTCTCAGCCCGGCGGGGGCCGAGCGGGGGCGCTGCCTTTCCGGCCCGTGGCACCCCCCCAATCCCGGGAGCGCGGAGCGCCCTAGCCCTCTCCCGCCGGGAAGGGTGCCGGGGGACGGAGGGGGGCCCCTGGAGGCGGCCCCAGTGGGGCGGGTGCAGAGACCCGCCTGCTGTCCCGGGGGAGGTCCGGGCAGCTGGGGGTGCACGGAGACTGATGTGCCCGCGGCCCCGGGCCGGGCCGGGCCTGCCGTCTGCATTTCACTTATTCCCCCGAGAGCCCGGGCAGAGCTGAGCCCCAAACCCGGCCTCCGGCTGGGCGCCCGGAGGGAAGAGGGGTCCCGGGCCCTCCCCGCGGGAGGGCAGCGCATGGACCCCCTCCCCCGCCTCCCCCCGGTGGCTGCCTCCGGGCAGAGGACGGCCGGCCGGCCCCGGAGCTCTCCGCGGAGCAGCTGAGCCGGGCAGCGGCAGGGCGCCTGGCCCGGGTCTCCTCCGCAGGCCGCACTCTCCCATCCCGGCGGCTTCTGGCCGGCAGCGGGCAGGCCCCGTCCCGGGTTTTGCTCCAGGAAGTGTCACTCCAGGGCATCCCCGCCAGCCCGGCCCCTGCTGCCCCTCCCCCGGACCCGGGGAGGGGTGCTGGGGGGGGGGGGGGAGGGATGGCTTCTGCAGCGGGCACCTGCTGCCTCTCCCCCGGACCCGGGGAGGGGTGCCGGGGGGGGGGGGGGGATGGCTTCTGCAGCCCGGCCCCTGCGGGCATCCCTCCGTTCGCGGCCCCTCGCTGGAGCTTTCCGCTCAGCTGCGTCCCACTTCCTACTGAGCTTCTGACTCAGCGCCTGGAGCGGGCCCAGCACCTGGGAGGGCACAGGGAGGGTGTGTGCGGCCCACACGTGGTGGCCACCCCTGGCAGGGCCTGTGCCTTTCAAGCCGGGGAGAGGACTTGGAAGGTGCAGGTTTCGAACCCGGCTCTGGACGTGGCAAATAGCATAACCCCCATGAGCCTCAGTTTCCACTTCTGTCCAGTGGGGACAGGAGGACGCAGGGGACGGGGTGGGGAGGGGGGGTGGTCAGTGCCATGCGGTGATTGAAATGTACCACCTCTCCCAGAATCCTCCCAGCTGAGTGGCTGTCTCCAGCAAGTATATAAAACATGGCAGCGGGTTCCTACAGACAGGTTTCGTCTTTGAAGGGACCTCTGCTGAGCTTCTGTTAGGAGCTGGGTGTGGTTTCTGTCCGAAACAGGCCGGGGGCAGCTGACTGTAAAGCCCACTTCATTTTGTCACTAGTGTCTCACGGGATTTTTGTCTTCCGCTCTGAGGTGGTAGAGGGCCTCACGGATTGGGTCAGGAGTGATGGGGCATGGCTGCATTCCAGGTCCGTCTGTGACTAACGTGTTGCTGGGTTTAGACAATCTGTCCTTTTCCTCCTTCCAAAAAATGCACGCGAATGGGCATTTCTTAGCAGCACTGTGTGCTCATTCATGCCTGAGTCTGGCCATTCTCCTGAGTAAACATGGGGGGCCTTTTGGTGCCAACCCCCGGAGACCCCGCAGGTGTGGAGGTGGCGCTGACCTCTGTCCACCAGGGCAAGGGGGCAGGAAGCCTGAGGCCTACATTTTTTTTTTTTTTTAATTTTTTAATGGTTTTGAGAGTGAAGAAGCAATAGGAGAGCCCAGGCGGGGCTGCTCTGGCTCACTGAGCAGTCAGAGAAAAGGGGGCCTCGGAGACAGATCCAGGGGATCAGCCTGGGATGGGCTGCTGCCGCCCATGGCCACCTGATTGCAGGTCACCTGGGGGTCCCTTAGAGTTCCTGTCTGGGAAAAAGGGGGAAGGGAAAGGTGCCGGCTATTCCCAGGATGGGGGCGGGGGAGAGGGGGGGAGAGCCCTCGCTGGGCCTGCATTCTGAAATGGAATTTCCAAGGTGCCCTCAGAGCTTAGGAAGAGGCTGGCTTTAGGAAAGAGGCAGAGGAAGATGGACACGGAAGGAAGTCCCCTTCCCACACGGTCTGCTCTGGCCTTGCTTATTTGGCGATGAGGAGGCTCTTCGGACTCCACAAAGGGCACCTGAGGCAGACCCCACCACAGAGTGGGGAGCACCTGGCACCCCGGTGGTGGAGAGCATGATCTCGCTTTTCCTAACCCGATTTAATTAAGCCTGATCAAATACAGAAGTTAGGAGCAACTAGGAAAATTGCCGGTTAGAAAAGCAAGCTATGCTTGTGCGAAGGCAGGGATTGGAAAGGGATGCACAAAAATGGACATATTTACTAAGATAACGTATTTTACATGTTTTTTTTTTTTCCAAATAACCAATATTTCATTTTGTTTTTTTATATTTTTAAAAATATATTTTGTTGATTCTTTACAAAGAGGAAGGGAGAGACAGTTAGAAACACCCATCAGCTGCTTTCTGCACACCCCCTTCTGGGGATGTGACCTCAACCAAGGTACATGCCCTTGACAGGAATTGAACCTGGGACCTTTCAGTCCGCAGGCTGACGCTCTAGCCACTGAACCAAACTGGTTTCGGCAAATAACCAATATTTCTTAAAGTTTTGGTACGTCATATTGACTGACACCATCATCTTTAATCTTTTTTTTTTTTTTAAATATGTTTTTTATTGATTTCGAAGAGGAAGGGAGAGAGAAATATCATTGATGAGAGTGAATCATTGATCGGCTGTCTCCTGCATGCCCCCTATTGGGGATTGAGCCCACAACCCGGGCATGTGCCCTTGACTAGAATTGAACTGGGGAACTTCCAGTCCTCAGGCCAGTGTTCTATCCACTGAGCCAAACCGGCTAGGCCATCAGCTTTAGTATTCAGAACATCCATGCAAGTTTAAAAGTTGTTATCGAAGAGAAAATCTTAAATTGGTGTCTGGTTTTGATTGAATACCATAATCTTAGTGAAATCGCAACTTCTTTTTTCTTGTAGCTTTTCTAATCCTTAGGGTGTACCTGAAAACAAATAAGAAGAAGATGAAAATAGCTCATAACCCCATTTCGTTAAAAAAAATTTTTTTTTTTAAAGGAGGGTGGAGGTACCTGTATTTTTGAAAGCAACAAGAGTAAAAACATGCTTCCCACAAAACTTTCCCTTTTCCTGGAAGTCACTGGCCCCTGCCCAGGCGCTGTCCGTCCCTCATGCAGCAGGACATGGAGACGTGTGTCCTTGACCTTTGGCTTGCTCTCCCGCAGTGAGGAGCTGGATGAGCTGCACTACCAGGACACAGATTCAGACGTGCCAGAGCAGAGGGATAGCAAGTGCAAGGTCAAATGGACCCACGAGGAGGTGAGTGGCACGGAGGGGCGATTACAGCAGGAGTGATGGCAGCGGGGGTGGGGTGTGCGTGTGTGTCTGTGTGTGTGTGTGTGTGTGTGTGTGTGTGTGTGTGTGCATGATGGCCTGGTGGGTGCGGTGAAGAGGAGAAGCTGATGGAAGAAGTGGCTGGGTCTTTGATTCTCCCAGTGGCCTCTCCTAGCATTCTTGGGGACTCTTAATCCTGAGGACGCCTGTGGGAGGGGGCACTTGTGTCTCTCAGACCTCAGGGCCAGCAGTCACTGTTGTGTCTCTTGGGAGCTGGCGTGTTTTACATCCTGAACAATCATTGTGTTTCTTGTCCTTTAACTGCTCGGAGGTTTAGCCAAGCCTGCAGCCCCCTTTATTATTATCGTATCTTTGGACCTTAAGTTCTGAATTGGTTTTCTTTTTATTCTTTAGTCACCTTTATGGAAGTGTAATTTACATACTACCAAGTAGACCTTTTAAAAGTGAACAACTCAACAGTTTTAACAAAACATCCCCTTTGTGTTCCATCTTTCCCATTTCCGGGCCGCCCTGCTCTGCCTCTCGGCTCGATTTATTTTGCCTGTTCTCAAATGTCCTATCAGTGAAATTATACAGTGGTGTTCTTTTCTCTCTGGCTCCTTTTGTTCAGCAAAATGTTGTGTGGTTCACTGATTTGTTTGCTTTTATTGCTGAGTAGTATTCCGTTGGGTGGGTATGCCACGTGCTTCATGTGTTGGGCTCTTTCTAGTTGTTGGCTGTTGTGGATGGAGCTGCTGTGAGGAGGCTTGTTAAGTCCCTCTGAGGATTGTTTTCTCTCTGGGCAGATACTGAGGGACAGCCATGGGATGGGTGTATGTTTAGTTTTGCAGAAACTGCCAGACCTTTTTCTGAATTGGTTGTACCATCTTAGGTGCCTGCTGGCCTTATTTATTTATTTTACTGTAGGAGTTGTAAAATCCCTCTTGTATTATAAAAGATTAGAGGCCCAGTGCACAAAATTTGTGCATGGGTGGGGTCTCTAGATCTGGCTGGTGATCGGGGCTGGGCCAGAGAGGAGGAGGTGACAGTTGCTGGACATTGACACTGTCATTGTGTGGTTCCCCGCCTCCCTCCCTCCTTCCCTTGCTGCCTCTGCACTGTGGCAGGTGGGGCCGATGGAGGCCTACCAGCCAGGGGAGGAAAGGGGCATGGGAGGTTGGCCCTCAGACCCCCTGGGAAAGGGGCTGTGAGGAGGGACCACCGGAGGTTGGCCAGCTGGGGGAGGTTGGCTGTGCGAGCACACTGCCCACCAGGAGGGCAATTCCTGCAAGGAGCGTCGGCCCCTTGGTGGTCAGTGCGCATCACGGCGACCAGTCATTCCAGCTCCTTAGGCTTTTATATATAGAGAGAGGCTTTTATATATAGAGATGCTTCTGCAGAGGAGTGCTAGGCCAGCCTTTCTGTTCAGCCTTCCTGGGGACCAGGAAGTACTCAGCTTTTGTGAGCTTTGAAGAATCAATAAGACCGGTCCCTTCCCCAGAGCAGCTCTCTGCTTGGGACGGAGGAGACTGCGCACAGGCCCATGGGTGCACGGTCTTCCGTGGCGCAGGGAGAACGGGTGTCTGTGTTTGCACTGAGGCTCCTGGCACGCTGGGGCACTAGTCATTGCCGAAACACTTCAGGGGAGAGCTACTGTTGTCTGAAGAGGCTAGGGGAAGTGTCCTGGAGAAGGGTTTGGAAACTCGGCAGTCAAGCGGGTAATTGCTGAAATACCTTTAGAAGGAGAGGTTCCTGTTGTCTTGAGAGGTCGGGGGAAGTGTCCTGGAGAAGGCTTTGGAAATCCAGCCGTCAGGGAAGTGTGCAAGTCAGATAGGAAATGGGCTGTAGGTGGAGAAGAGCCAGCAGAGGACCCCGTGTGGCTGGAGTGAAGCATCCTCGAAGGGGAGGGGAAGGAGAGTGGTCAGAAAAGAGTTTAGGGCTGATTTCGGAGGGCCTCGCCTGCCAGGCTCAGAATATGGGCTCACTCAGCTGGCCGTGCAGAGCCCTCGGAGGTTTTTAAAGCGGCCGAGTGACATGGACATCGCTGGGCCTCAGAGGAGCTCACCTGCTGTGTGGAGGGTGGAGAAGAGGTTTGGGGCAGTGTGGGTCCCGGCAGTAGTGCTGGGAGCCGGGGCGGGCGCTGCACGGGGCAGGTAGGAGACGATGCCGTGGAGAGACGAGGGCCGTACAGGCAGGAGCTAACAGGTGGAGGAGCGTCCTGGGCCCTGGCGGAGTTGGAGGTGAAATGCAGTGTCTGTGCCGGCTATTGGGGGGCAGTGGTGCTGGAGACGGACATGGGAGGAAGGCAGGTGTGGGCCTGGCCGGCAGAGGAAGCCGGGGTGTCTAGGATGGCTGGTGTGAGCGGGCTCAGCTGTAGGATTTATGGTACGTGGTCCAGCGGTGCTAGACTGGCCAGGCTGCAGCTGAGGGCCTAGGTGTCTGTGGTGGCCTTTTCCTTCTGTCCAGGAGAGAGCAGGGAGGGGAAGGGAACACATGACGTTAAATTTACCGCTGTGCCACTTTTATTTTTGTGTGTGTGCCACTTTTAAGTGTGCAGTTCAGTAGTATTAAGTGTATTCCCACGTGTAACAAATCTCTAGAACTTTCTCATCTTGCAAAACAATCTTTATACCTAGTAAACACTAATTCGTCATGAGCGGAATCATGGTATTTGCCCTTTTGTGACTGGCTTATTTCACTTAGCGTCATGTCTTTGAGGCTCATCTGTGCTGTGGCATATGTCTGAACTCCCTTTTGTTTCAAGGCTGGACAATTCCCCGCTGTATAGATACAGCACTGTATACGTTCCTGGGCAGCCACTTTCCCGTGCGTGCAGCCCTTCTGTGGCCTCCTGCCCCGGGGACAGGTTCAGAGTGACCAGGCAGCGTTCCATTCCTGGGACAGGCTTGCTGCCGAGCAGGAGACCAGGAAATGACACTCTTGCTGAAGCTTCCCAAACCCCACCCTACCCCCCAGGCTTGTGTGCTTCAAGTAACGTTGATTTCTCTCATTTTGGAAGCAGTTTTAAATATCTGCCACCAACGTTCTCAAGCTCTGCACACTTCTTGCTTGTTCATGCTGAAATGGGTCCGTGTGCATTCCAGGGAGAGGGGTTCGTGTCCCGGCCCAGGGTGGCCCCCCTCGAGGGCCAGGGCAGCACCGAGCAGGTGGGTGCGGGGCCAGCACGTTCCATTCAGAAGTAATTGACGCTAGACTCTCCACATGCCTCAGCAAACACTCCTCTGGCTTAAAAGTGGAATTAGCACCCGGAATTTATAGGTCCACAAGTGGAGTGCCCCTCTCCCTCCCTCTCTTTCTAAAAACAAAGAAGTAGTGCAAAAGTCAATACAACAGGAATTCACAGAAAAGGGGTTGGGTTCAAAGGAGCAGAAACACCTTGGAGGAGGCGCCCTGGCTGCCATCTTTTAGCACCTTCACCTTATAGGACGTTTTCATTGCTCCCAAGCATCTCATGCTCCCGTGGCTGTCCATCCTGCCTCCCTCCACCCCTGACCTCAGACAACCACCAACTGCCTTTTTGTTCCTATGGTTTAGTTCAGTGGTCGGCAAACTCATTAGTCCACAGAGCCAAATATCAACAGTACAACAATTGAAATTTCTTTTGAGAGCCACATTTTTTAAACTTAAACTTCTTTCCCTACGTTGGTTTGGCTTAGTGGATAGAGCACCAGCCTGCTCTATCCCAGGTTCGATTCCAGCCAATGGCACATGCCTGGGTTTTAGGCTCCATGGGGTGTGCAGGAGGCAGCCAATCAATGATTCTCTCTCATCATTGGTGTTTCTATCTCTATCCCTCTCCCTTCCTCTCTAAAATCAATAAAAATATATTTTAAAAAATAAACTTCTTATAACGCCACTTCTTCAAAATAGAATCGCCCAGGCCATGGTATTTTGTGGAAGAGCCACACTCAAGAGACCAGGGAGCCTCATGTGGCTTGTGAGCTGCAGTTTGCCAACCACGGATTTAGTTTATAGTTTCTAGAATTTCATATGCATGGAGCCATACAGTGTTTGTTGTTATGTCTGGCTTTATTTATTTATTTTTTCCTTTTTTTATTCTAAGTCAAGGATATACTTACTGATTTTAGAGAGAGAGGAAGGGAGAGGGAGAGAAACCGAAACATTGATATGAGAAAGACAGAGAGGGAGAGAGAAACATTCATTGATTGCCTTCCATACTCACCCTGACAGGGGATCGAACCTGAAACCCAGGTATGTGGCATGACTGGGAACCCAAACCCACAACCTTCTGGTGTACCAGAGGATGCTCCGACCACTGAGCACCCCAGCCAGGGCTCTGTCTTGCTTCGTTGTCATGATGATACTGAGACTCTGTGTTGTGTGAGTCATAGTTCATTTGCAGAATATTTGTGACAGACACCGCTTTGCCTTCTGACTGCTCCGAGTTCTGCCCGTGTCTCCCCGTCTCCAGAGCTGTGTCACTATCGTCTCTGGCCTGAGGGCCTGGAATGGCCTCCTGTTGTCCTTCCTGTCCTCTCCCAGCCCCTCTCCCTGCAGCTGCCCTAGTGAACTGGGTCCCCCCGTGCTCAGATGCCCCAGGGGCTTTGCATCACACAGCACGGAGCCCCGAACCCATCCCGTGTGTGGTCTGGGCCCGGCCGCCCCCTCCAAGAGCAGCTTGCCCCTCTCTCTCCTGGGTCTCCTGCATTCCAGCCACACTGGGCTTCTCCGGATGGGCCTGTCCCTTTTCCTCCCTGACGAGGCAGTCGCCACACACCTCTCCCTGCCCCCAGCGTCGTGGCTTTACTTCTGTCTGTGGGAGGGAGGCTTGGATTGGATCCGTCTCCCTCTGTACAGTGAGTCCCTCAAGGCGAGTTGTTGCTTCTGTCGGTAGCACCTGGCTCCGAGGAGGTCTTGCTGAACGGCTGGCTGAGGCTGTGCCTACAGCCGTGTGAGCTGAGTTCTCTCTCTCTCTGGTGTTGGCAGGATGAGCAGCTGAGGACCCTGGTGAGGCAGTTCGGACAGCAAGACTGGAAGTTCCTGGCCAGCCACTTTCCCGTGAGTGCAGCCCGTCTGTGGCCTCCTGCCCCAGGGCCCGTTCTGAGTGACTGGACAGCGTTCCTGGGACAGACTAGCAGAAAACAAGGAAATGACATTCCTGCTGAAACTTCCCAACCCCAGCCCACCCCCAGACCCTTTCCTCCCAAACTGGAATCCCAGGCGCCCTGATGAGGCATCAGCACGCGGCAGCCTCTGCGAGCCTGTGGTCTCTAAGCTCTGACACCTGCAGCTTGTGACCGGGGCACGTCATCGGTGGCGTATTTGCATGTCTTCCTGTGCTGGTGTTCAGTTTCTCAGTAGTGAGCCTGACACTGAGGGGAGGTGGTACTTCCAGCAGGTTTGTGGAGAGAGCTCCCTCAGGGCTCTGTCTCCCTCAGATCCCCGCCCAGCACTGCAGGTGTCTGCTTTGGAGAGGTTGGGAGCTGCTGTCTGGCTTTTTTTTTTTTTTTTTTTTTTTTTTTAATATATTGATTTTTCTACAGAGAGGAAGAGAGAGGGATAGAGAGTTAGAAACATTGATGAGAGAGAATCATCAATCAGCTGCTTCTTGCACACCCCCTTCTGTGGATGTGCCCGCAACCAAGGCACATGCCCTTGACCGGAATTGAACCTGGGACCTTTCAGTCCGCAGGCCGACGCTCTATCCACTGAGCCACACCGGTTTCAGCCTATCTGGCTTATTTCTTGGGTCACTCGAGGACCGAATCACCAGACCCCTTCTGCCCCACTCCTCATCTCCCTCCCGTTAAAATAGCGTGCTCAGGGAAACAGCGCTGTCCCAGAAGCAAGCAAGCCAGCTGGCTTCCCACCCACAGCGTTCTTCTTTGCCCACTTCCTGCGGTCCCTGCAGCGAAGAAAAGCCACGGTTACTCTGACACGTGGCCATGGGGTGTGTGGTGATTCCAGGAACAGGACAAGACCCGTCTGAGCCCCCTGGCCCAGGCCATGGTTCCCCGAGCCCAGGGGTCAGCATGATGCAGGGCTGCCTCCCCAGTTCTCACGATCCCTGTACCCCCAGAACCGCACTGACCAGCAATGCCAGTACCGGTGGCTGAGGGTCTTGAATCCAGATCTCGTCAAGGGGCCGTGGACCAAAGAGGAAGACGAGAAGGTAACCAGTGGGACAGTGTCTTGCACACAGTGTCCTGCCTTCACTTACCCGTGAGCCCCGGGACTGCCAGGCTGCCCTGGTGGCGTCTGGCTGGAGGTTGGCCGTGTGTCCTCCGCCGGTCAGTCCGTCGCATCTCTCGGGGCTGCGGTGAGGCCCGGTGTGGGCCGGGGGCAGGTGTGCTGCCTTCACCGGGCTTGTCTCCCAGGTCATCGAGCTGGTGAAGAAGTACGGCACGAAGCAGTGGACGCTGATCGCCAAGCACCTGAAGGGCCGGCTGGGGAAGCAGTGCCGTGAGCGCTGGCACAACCACCTCAACCCCGAGGTGAAGAAGTCCTGCTGGACGGAGGAGGAGGACCGCATCATCTGCGAGGCCCACAAGGTGCTGGGCAACCGCTGGGCCGAGATCGCCAAGATGCTGCCGGGACGGTGAGCGGCTCCGGGGCGTGGGGACCGTGGTGACGGGCGGGGGCGGCTCCCAGGCCGGGGAGAGCCGTGTGGCTGAATGTTCCTCCAGTCTCCTCTGGGGTTGTCCATGTCACCCAGACACACACGAGTCCTTCAGACTGGTCTTTTTCTAGAGAATAGACCTCCCTCCTGCCTGTGAGGTCAAGGCCAGCATGTGGACATACAAACCTCTGCTCTGTTTTCATCCTGCTCCTCCCGGGGCCTGGTCCCTCCAAGCCGTGCGCCTCTTGGGGTCGCAAGGAGCATTGGGAAGAGCTGGCTGCATTCTTGCCAGAATCTTCCTCCGCATCCGTTCCCAGTCTCCGAAGCGGCTTATGGCGCCCTGCGTGTTCCCCGGTTTCTGGAAGCGTAAAGCTGTTGTCTTCTGCCCTGTCCTCTTTGTCCTTGTGCCTTGTTACCTTGTTCTGCTTTATTTTAAATCCTTCTTTTCTCATGACACTGGCGTCCCACGAGGTAGAGGAGGTGGACTGCCAGCTGCTGTATTCCCCCTGAAGTACACCCTGGTCTGCCTCACACTCGGACCCGAGCGTGCTGTCCTTTCGGAGCTTCTCCCAGCGCTGGGCTGAAGACCCCTCTTCCCCTCTGCAGCCTGTTGGCCCGGCTCACGCCCAGCCCTGCCTGGTCCCTCTCCGTTACACACAGCGAGCTGTTCTCTGAGTGCCCCGTGCACCGCTGCCTGAAGCCCATGTTCTCACCCTTCGGTGTTCAGCACGAGTGTCATTTCCTCAGAGAAGCTTTCTCCCTTCCGGCCTCTGGTCGGTCCCGCCTGTCCTCTGAGCAGCTTGTCCCCCAAATGTAATGAGGAGGCGCTGAATGTAGCCGCTCATCCTCCTTGCAGTGTCCCCGGTGCCTGGAGAGCAGTGTTGGCCGTGTAGTGGGCCCTCCGTAAACACACGAGAGCAAAAGGACGAAGGGCACTACAGCTCAGAGCACCCTGCTCTGGTCGCTGTGGGCGGGAGGGCTGGAGGTGTTTGGGTCAGGTTCTCCTGGAAGGAACCTGAGACGCAGAGGTTAAAGGTACAGGGGTGTATGGAGGGAAGGGGCTCGTGCCTGGGAGAGGAGGAGTGGGGAAGAAGAGGGCAGGGCCCAGCACGATGGGGACTCAGTCAGTCCTTGACGTGGTACGTGCTGTGTGTGGGTGTTTCCTGATGGTCCGCAGCGGAGTGACCAGGGGTAGAGACCCTCCTCTGAGACTGGTCACTCAGCCACGTCGTTTATCTCTGTTCACAATCCACGGGCAAAGCGCTCTGCGTGGAGCTCACAGGAAGAAGTGCCTCCTGTGTGTGAGCACTTCTCTGCTCCTGGGCACTGGGATTTAGCAGGGGTGAGTGGGAATGCGCTGGGAGTCAGTAAGTGCTAGAAACGTGCGTGACTTCATCTTAGAGCTAAAGACACCTTTGAACCGAAACCGGTTTGGCTCAGTGGATAGAGTGTCAGCCTGCGGACTGAAGGGTCCCAGGTTCGATTCCGGTCAAGGGCATGTACTTTGGCTGCGGGCACATCCCCAGTGGGGGGTATGCAGGAGGCGGCTGATTGATGTTTCTCTCTCATCGATGTTTCTGATTTTCTATTCCTCTCCCTTCCTCTCTGTAAAAAACAAATAAAATATATTAAAAATAAACAATTAAATAAAAATAAAAGATACCTTTGAGCTCCTCAGGCTGAGCCCTCATGGACAGAAGTGGGAGCTCAGCGATGTGACCGGTGGCACCCAGGCCACGGGGTTCAGAGGCCCCTCGCTTGCCCCCGCAGGACAGACAATGCTGTGAAGAATCACTGGAATTCCACCATCAAGAGGAAGGTGGACACGGGAGGCTTCCTGAGCGAGTCCAAGGACTGCAAGCCCCCCATGTACCTGCTGCTGGAGCTGGAGGACAAGGAGAGCCCGCCGCGGGCCCAGCCCTCGGACGGCCAGGTGAGACGGCTGCCCGGGCTGCCCAGCCCTGGCCTGGCTCCAGGTGGGTCGGTACGGTTGATGGCAGGGTTACCCATCGCCGTGTCGCTTAACACCGGTCTGCCCTTTGTTCTGTCGTGCTGGTTATTTAATTCGTATGGCATGATCTTTATCTGATAACACAAACCCCACGAACGGTGTGCCCTTGTGTCCATCAGGGAGGTCTTGGGGCCAGCTGGTCGCCGGCGCTCCCTGCCATGAAGGAAGAGGACAGCAGCGAGGAGGAGGCGGCGGCAGCAACCCCTGCGGAGGAGCAGGAGGCTGCCCCTGCAGAGCTGGGCCGAGCGGGCACCCCGGAGGCCTTGGACAGCACCCCCAAGCGCGAAGACCAGGAGGGCTCCTCGCCAGAAATCGGCCTGCCGTATAAGTGGGTGGTGGAGGCGGCAAACCTCCTGATCCCGGCCGAGGGCTCCAGCTTCTCGGAGGCCCTGGACTTGATCGAGTCGGTAATGTTGGTCACGGCACTTCCCTGCGGGCCCAGAGCATCCCAGTGGGGAGTCCTCTCCTGGGCGGGCATCCTTGTGTTCACTCATTCTCCCAGTAGCATTTCCTGGGCAGATGCTAGGTGCCAGCCTGCAGCCAGGGCCTGGGACATGGAGCTGCCATGTAGTGCCTGCCCTCAGGAGTCTCCTGACGCCTGATGTACAGCACGGGGTCGGGTGGGAGGGCTGCCCAGGGGAAGCTGCGCTGAGTTCTGGGGGATGATGTCGGGGAGGGTGTTTGAGCGGATGACAGCGCAGCTGAGCGTGGTGGTTGCAGCACCACCAACCGGGAGTCCCTAGAGAGGGACCTGGGACTGGTGGGGCTGGAGCGGGGAGTGGGTTCTGATTGCTCAGGTGCAGTCCTGCGGCCGCGCTGGCTGTGGGTTGTGCCCCTGGGGGGGCGCTCTGCAGCGGGGGATGCACATCCCGGCGCTCGGCTGCATCAGCCAGGCCTGTGCAGTGCAGTGGCTTCAGGAGGTGATGGGCAAGAGGCCTGGCTGGTCACAGACGTCGTTCCTCTTTCTCCGTTAACATTTCAGTGTGTGTCCGCAGCACAGACATTCACTTACATACCCACAGGCAGCGACATCTCCCTCAGGAACCCAACGGACACTGAGCTCCGGGGCAGTGGAGCTTGGCACATTCACCTTCCCACTGGGCCCTGCCCCTCTTTGCTCACATAATGACATTTATTGAACATCTATTAAATGCCAGCCTCTGAGCTTGGTGTACAGTCCACCCAGGATTTGGTGAGTTGTGTCCTTTCTCTGTTTTGTAGATGAGACTGAGGCTCAGAAAGGCCAAGTTGTGTACTCAAGGTCACACAGCAAGCCAGCTGGGTGATCTTGACCATTGAGCTGTGCTCTCAGTGCTTGCTTAATGGTGTTTGGGTGGCACGGTCCCTAGGGAGCTATCTTTAAAACCCTCTGACTCGGGGTCTCATCTTTTAGCCCAGTGGCTGGGACTAGACCCAGCTACAGGATCTGTCTGCCTTGTCCCTTCCACACCAAGGAGTTTTCATGTTATCTTGAGAAGTAGGCCTGAGCGTTCTTCAGTCTGCAGCACTAGCTCCGAGGCTGCCGTGTGGGGCCCGGTCCTTGGGGACCCTGCGGGGACTGTTGAGATGAGAGTTGTGCCCAGCACTGTTGGCACTTCACGGTGTTGCCATCTCCATCCTCAGCCTGTTCTGCATCTTCCTCCAGTTCCTGGGCACAGAGGAGGGAGGGGAGCACCCAGGGTGTGGGAGGATCAGTGCTCAGTAATTACAGTACCTGACATTGGAGTGCCTGCTGTGTGCCAGCCTTGTTACTGGCTACCTGCATCCCTGCTCTCTGTTTGGCCTTTAACTGCCCTGTGAAGTGGGTGGTGGGCTCATCACCAGTAAGGAGATCCCAAGCTCGGAGGTCAGGAGGCTTGTCTGGCATCACATGATGGAGTATTTTGCAGTCATAGAATCATTACAGCCAAAATAGTTTTGGCTCATTGGATAGAGCGTCGGTCTGCAGACTGAAAGGTCCAGGTTCGATTCCAGTCAGGGGCATGTACCTTGGTTGCGGGCACACCCTGGTAGGGGGTGTGCAGGAGGCAGCTGGTGGATGTTTCTCTCTCATCGATGTTTCTAGCTCTCTATCCCTCTCCCTTCCTCTCTGTAAAAAGACAAATAAAATATATATTTTGAAAAAAAAATCATTACAAAAGTTGGGAAATTTTCACCATTTATTCATAGTAAACTTTTAACTCAGTGTTATAGAATTAGGCATGATTATTTCTGCTTTATAGACATTTTAAATGTTTGAACAAAAAGTAGGATCTTGAAGTGATTTATACTAATCTTAAAAACACGCAAAATACTAGAAATGCATGATGACGGTAAATTTTAAATCCCGGTAGAGGATGTGAGCTGGGAGGGGAACATGTGAGGTTTTATTTATTGAGCTTATTGACAGATACTTGGGTTTCTTTGTATGTTTTTTGTTGTTGTTGTTGTTGTTTTAAATAGTGCATGGGACATTTTTATTTTTTATTTTTAAATACATTTTATTGATTTTTTACAGAGAGGAAGGGAGAGAGATAGAGAGCCAGAAATGTCGAGAGAGAAACATCGACCAGCTGTCTCTTGCACACCCCCTACCGGGGATGTGCCCGCAACCAACGTACATGCCCTGAATCGAACCTGGGACCTTTCAGTTCGCAGACCGACGCTCTACTGCTGAGCCAAACCGGTTTCGGCATGCATGGGACATTTTTAAAGTAACAGCCAGTAGTAGCCTTATGCACAACATACCTTCGGTTTTATTTACAAACACAGATATGCAGCATAGAAGATGTACATTTATTTCCTTGGGGAAATGGGAGGAATTGTTCATGATGGTTGTTCTGGGCTGTGAGGTCAGACCTGGCACTCGGTGAGGACGCCCTCATGTCTGCTGGGAGAAAAGCAGACAGGCTGCAGCGATTACTAACCCCTCCTCTCTGGACAGGACCCCGATGGCTGGTGTGACCTGAGTAAGTTTGACCTCCCCGAGGAGCCGTCCCCGGAGGGCAGCGTCCACAGCAGCCCGGAGCAGCCCCAGCCCTCGCAGTGGCCGGCCCCTTCGCCGCGCCAGCCCATCGCCCCGGGGCCCAGCGTGACCGAGTACCGCCTGGACGGCCACACCATCTCGGACTTGAGCCGGGGCAGCCGGGGCGAGCTGATCCCCATCTCCCCCAGCACCGAGGTGGGGGGCCTGGGCGTCGGCACCCCGCCTTCCGTGCTCAAGCGACAGAAGAAGAGGCGTGTGGCCCTGTCCCCCGTCACGGAGAACAGCGCCAGCCTGTCCTTCCTGGACTCCGGCAACAGCCTCACCCCCAAGAGCACGCCCGTCAAGACCCTGCCCTTCTCGCCCTCCCAGGTGCGGGGCCCACCCCCGCTGCTCCCCGCGTTTGGTGTGCGGGCTCCCCGTCCCCCGCGCGGGGCCTTGCACGCGGGCACGTGTCCTCATGGGTTGTCTGCCGTGTGTCTGCCGTGTGGGAGGGCTGGCGATGCAGGGGGAGCAGGCACAGGCCTGGCTTTCTCTCGTGAAGCTTGCATTCTGGCAGGAAGACCAGTGAATAGTAAGAAAAGCTCCGCGTAAACGTGGTACATGGAATGAAGGAAACGGCTTTTGCTGCATCTCGTTTGAGGGCGGGGGAAGGAGGGTATCAGGAAGGCTTCCGTGAGGAGGAGGGATTGCTTGAGCTGAGAGTGGTGGGTGATACTGGGCAGAGAAGGGAAGGAGCTCAGTATTTGGTAAGAGATCAATTCCTTGAGCACCTGTTTCTTACCGACTCCTTGGTCACCGGGGAACAGAGGTGGAGCAGGACAGGAAAGCCCTGCCCTTGCTGAGAGGGCAGTTCGTACTGGGGACAGGCTGGGGGTGAGTGAGCTGATGCAGGTGTAGTGCGGAGAGCGCTCTGATGATAGCGATTGAGAGCTGACTGTGCTGTGAGTGCTGCTCAGGAGGGGCCTGTTTTTCCTGGAGGTGGGGAGGGCCGGGCTTTCTGGAGAACGGTGTCTGAACAGGTGCAGGTGGGGAGGGCGAGCGAGTGAGAGTGAAGTCAGAAGGGATTGGGGGAGGGTGGCAGGGGGGCAGGAGCCTTGGAGGGCTTAGGTGTAACAGGGGTATGTACTGCCCGGGGGTCTGGGGGGTTGGGGCAGCAGGGCTTTGTGAGGACGCACTGGACGGGGGAGGGAGAGCAGGGCTAAGAGTTCCCACGTCCCGGACAGGAACGGGTATCCGAGAGGATGAGGGAGAGCAAGGCCAGAGGCGGCCTGTTTCGGGTGGCTACGCCATCACCTGCAGTGGAGGGACTGAGGCCAGGCTGGTAGGGGATGTCCATGGGAGCTCGGTCTTCACCTGCCAGAGGTGCCGAGACGAAGTAGCACACCGTGTTCTTAGCGGAAGTTGTTTTCTCAGTCCTGGGAGGAATGGGCAGGGCTGGTTCCTTCTGAGGCCTCTCTCTGTGGCTTGCAGATAGTGGCTTCTCCCTGTGTCTTCACACGGCCTTCCCAACATGAGCACTGCCGCCCGCCATGGCCGTCTCCTGTCCGTTACGGGCCCTTTAAGAGCTGTCCCCACACCGCCTGTGTTCTTGTCCTAAGGGCACTGTCGGCAGACTGGCAGAAGTGGGGACGGGCCATGGCAAGTCCAGTGATCCATGAACCTAGCTGTGGGCGCCTGCCGGTCTGTCTCGGCCTTTTTCTCTGGTGCCTGGCTGGAGGGGAGTCTCCATGTCAGGAGGGCCCTCTGTCAGCAGACATGGGGGGGCAGGGAGTGTCTGGAGGGTCTGGTCCCACCTGCCGGTCACCGCTCTGTCTTGTTTCCTTTGTCTCCCTGGCAGTTTTTGAACTTCTGGAACAAGCAGGACACACTGGAGCTGGAGAGCCCCTCGCTGACCTCCACCCCCGTGTGCAGCCAGAAGGTGGTGGTCACCACGCCCCTGCACCGGGACAAGACACCCCTGCACCAGAAGCACACTGCGTGAGTGCTGTGGGACCTGGCCTCCCCCAGCAAGCCGGGCCAGGGCCACGGGGGGGGGGGAGGGGGGCGTCCTTGGAAAAACACCTGAGGATCTGTTACCGGAAGGCAGCCTCCGGCCGCCCCCTCTCCATTTCTGTCAGGGTAACCTGGTGCTTTCCTACGGCTCTGATTCTTCTCATAGTTTCATCTGGTGGTTTTCTAATCTCGGAAATGGAGAGGGTCCACATTGCCATGAAAAGCTTCCTCTCTCTATCTTTATGAGTTTCAAGCACAAACCTACTGTTTGAGTGGCCTGATGTGGAGGACGGACGTGCCTCCAGCTCTCTCTGCTCCGTCCGAGTGAAGGCTGCATCGGCCTGCCAGGCCCGGACAGGGCCTCCTTGTATGTTCACAATTCTTTTTCTTTTTTTTTTAAGTGTTAGAAATTTTATTACTGTTAACATTCCACAAGGTCATATTCCTACAAATCAAACTGAAAAAAATTCCAAGCGCTCAAACTGTCATCTCATGTAACATTTGGTCTTTCATTGCAAATGTCAAAAATGGAATTGTTTTAAGATAACGAAAAGCTTTGGGCAAGTCCGACCTGCTGTCCCTTCGTGGTAGATCAGAAAGCTATTGTCTTCATTCACTTCCTGAAGTCCGTGTTAATGTAACCTGTCTTGGCGGTACTGCCACACCATCCTTGTGGTAACCCATTTTCCTCTTCTCCCCATGGTGGAGAGTTCTCATTGGCAGGTCCATTGTAGACTCTTCAAGCTGACTGGGTATAAACGCTTCCACCCATATCTATTAACTATTCACATTTTTTGCTATAAAAATACAAACTTTTGCAAAGATTTTTTCCTCTTTTTTTTTTTTTTTTTTAATATTTTTTATTTTTAGAAAGAGAGGAAGAGCCGAAACTGGTTTGGCTCAGTGGACAGAGTGTTGGTCTGCGGACTGAAGGGTCCCAGGTTCAATTCCGGTCAGAGGAATGTACGTTGGTTGCAGGCACATCCCCAGGAGGAGGTGTGCAGGAGGCAGCTGGTCGATGTTTCTCTCTCATCAATGTTTCTAGCTCTCTATTCCTCTCCCTTCCTCTCTGTAAAAAAAATCAATAAAATATATTTAAAAAAGAAAGGAACTGGGAGGGACAGAAACGGAGGAGAGAGGAAAATTATCGATGGGCAGCCTGCTCACCCACAACCGGGAGCAAGCCTGCAATCTGGTGACCTCGTGGTTCCTGGTTTGATGCTCAGTCACTAAACAATACTGGTAGGACACAGAGATTTTCTTTATCATTGATAAAACTCCAGGGTGCCAGTGTTCAGAATGGTCAGACGCATGTGAAAGAGCTGTACTTGTTCAGAACCATCATCAACCAAAGTTAAATTTAATCCTGTTAAATTTGAGCCCTTCGGCAGATACACTGCGGCCACGGAAGGAGGGGACTTTTCCTCCTTTTCCTCCTCATCAATGTCCTGCTGCTGCTCCAGCTTCTGTTTTCCTCCAAAGGTCTCCATGCTCTTTGCTCCTCTGTAGGTCCTTACTGCCCCCTGGTGGCAGGTTCCTTCCGTACGCAGGCCGTCCTTGGACAGTCTTCAGTGGGAGCCTGCCGGTGATGGATTCTGGCAGCTGAAAAGTTGCCTTCATTTTTAAAAGCGGTTTTTGCTGGGTATAGAATTCTGGGTGACAGCCCCACTCCACGCCCCTTTATCCCCCCATGTTTTCTGCTGTTTCCCATCTGCTGGGTCTTCTGGCTTCCAGAATCGCGTTTCTTCCATCTCCAAGCCATCTTATGGGTTCCCTTCTCAGCCCGCCTCCCTCAGTTCTCTAACAGGCTTGTCCTGCCAGCTCTTGCTGACACAGTGACTTCAGGAGTTTCCCACGTCTGTTGTAAAAGTTCCGTGTCTCACACAGATGTTGGGGCCGTGTCTCAGACTCATCCCTTGCAACTGCGGTTGGAACTGGGAGGTGTTTCCGTTTGACCAGCACTGACCTGTCTGCTCATCCTTGCAGAGGGCTCTGTGTGTGTCGGGTGGAATGTAACACGGATATGGGAACCGATGGACTGGGTGGTCCCTGTCCGATCTCTCAGTCCCAAGGAAGGAAGAGCAGAACGGTCTGTACTCTTCCGGCTTTGACCTCCCTGTGGAGTGGCTGGCGGGCCCAGGGGAGTGGCTGGTGGCCCAGGGGAGTGGCTGGAGCAGCAGTCCCAGGCAGCGCTGTCTAGAATTGGCCACTGCCCCCAGGCTCTCCATAATCTGGGGCGTTTCTCACGTGCTTGGACCCGCCCAGGGGAGGCTGTGGGAGTCGCTGTGGCGATGCCTCCTGCTGACTCAGGTCACACAGGCCTCGTGCAGGGCGAGTCTGGTGCGTGCCGTCTGCCGGGGTTTGCCCACAACCCTCGGCCTGGCTGTGAGGCGCCTCTGCTGTCCCTTCCTCAGCAGGCTTTTCCCTCGCAGGCAGAAACCACACATTGGTGGGGCCACAGGTGCTAGAAGCTTCCTGGTGCTTCTGCCTGTGGACCGACCCTGCCTAGGTTTCTCTCTGCTAAAGCTTTCCCTCCGCGTTTCTGTCCCCCCGGTGGGCGTTCTGAGGAGACGGGGAGACGGTAAGTTCCGCAAGTGCGTTGGCCTCACCACCTCACACCTGGATCTCTGAAGAGGTGGGGGAGGCACACGCCCTCCAGGATTCCTTTCTCCCTCCCTCACTCCTCCCCGCCCCTCCCTGCGGGCCACAGCCTTCTGTGTTTTACTTTTACTCACCTGCGTCTCCAGGACACCCCTAGCCTCTTTCCTGTTCCTGGTCGGCTCCTGCCTCTCAGTCCCTGAATAAGACCCTCTCGTGCCAGAGGGCAAGAGCCCGTGTGCGGGTTTCCTCCCTGATGCCGAGGCCAGAGGTCCAGATGGAAGGGGGCTGGGAGAGCGGCTGGTGACTGTCCCCAACCCTGTCACTAAATCTCCTACCCGGCCGGCAGGTTTGTGACCCCAGATCAGAAGTACTCCATGGACAACACGCCCCACACCCCGACCCCGTTCAAGAACGCCCTGGAGAAGTACGGGCCGCTGAAGCCCCTGGTACGTGGCGCGGGCAGGCCTGTGCGTGTGGGCCCCCGGGCTCTCCAGCCATCGGCGGTTCACAGAGCTCTGTCAGGTCTCACTGGGTTCTTCCAGCAGCCCCGGGAAGGTGCCGCTACCCTCATGTTACAAATGGGGAAACCGAGGCCGGGTTACTCCTCAGCTCCTCAGACCTTTCCCGAGCACCTGCCACGTGCCAGGCCGGCACCAGGTGGTGGTGGAGACACGGCTTCACAGCGTCCCAGGGAGGCTCAGCGTGTGGGATGGTGGTGGAGGACACTGAACACACAAATTCACAAGGAACTAAACAGGTCCAGCACGCTGTACGTACCAGAGGAAAACAAAGTGCTGGAACCAGGAGGACTTGCTCGGATGTTAGGACTAGTACTTTGGGATGTTGCAAATTATTCCTCTAGCTGAAGCCTTTTGCCTAACTGCTGGTTCTTTGCAAAGCCTGGGAAAGCCACTCCTGGGTGGGCTGGAGATGGCCAGTGAGGACACCCCGCCAGCTCCCCCTGCCCCCCCCCCCCCCCCCCCCCCCCCCCAGTCCTCACATGGTCGTGCTTTCCCAGTGACAAGACAGCTGGCGCCTCAGGCTCTGGATTTCAGTGGGAGGTGAGAAGGCTGGTTGCAGAGAAGCACTGGGTCTGTGAGCAGCTTTCTCGCCCCTCACGGTGCGGGGTCCTCGGGAAGGCCCGGCGGAGGGCTATGACGTCCCGTCCTGTGGTGCCGCTGGTGGGAGTTACAGGCCCAGGCCGGGTACGGGAGCTCTGCTCTCCCCTGTCCGAGGGGGTTAGGCTCCTGTCTGTGTGCTCTCCGACAGCCTTGGGAGGGCCCGTCTCCCAGTCTGACCTGGGCAGTCGAAGGACAGGCAGGGGCTCAGGGTGACCTGAGGGGTCATCGCACCCCCTCCCTCTGCTAGGGGCGCTCTCCTCTCTTGGGGCTCTGCTGCCTGAGGCCCGAGAGGGCGCCTGGAGCCCCCCGGCCTGAGTGGGGGGGGGGGAACCCAGCGCCTGCATTCGTGTGGGACACGGGTGAGGGGGTTCGGGCTGTGAGCGGGTCCGGGTTCTGTTCCACGGCAGTGTGACCCCGGGCCCTGCTCGCTCTCTGAGCCCCCGTTTCTACCCTGCGGGGGACGACAGCTGTGAGGGCTGCCGTGGTGACGTGGCCGGGGTTCCTGGCCCGCAGTGGTCCTTAGCACGTTGAGGCCAGCGTCTGCTTGTCCAGGGCAGGCCGGGGAGTGGTGTGTGCGTGAGGCCAGTGCCCCAGCACCGGACCTCCTTCCTGCACCGCCCGGGCCGGCCGGAGCGTGGCTCTGCCCCGTGCCTGGCGGCGTGGCAGCCTCACGCGGCCCCCTCTGCCGCAGCCCCAGACCCCGCACCTGGAGGAGGACCTGAAGGAGGTGCTGCGCTCCGAGGCCGGCATCGAGCTCACCGCCGAGGACCAGGGCAGGCCGGAGAAGCAGAAGAGGAAGGCGGGGGTGAGTGGGCGAGGCGGGCAGCGTGGCGGGAGGCGAGAGGCGGCCGGGGCACATCCGGACAGCCGGTGGAAGTGAGACGCCAGGAAGCGGAGCTGCCCCAGAGCCTCGCTCCCCCAAATGGTCATCCGTGAGACTGGCCTGGGGGGCCCTCCCCTCCTCTGGGAGCTGCCCCTTATCTGGTCAGCGCCGTGTCCCTGGGCAGGGGGCCCAGGCTGGGTGCAGGGGAGAGAGCAGTGCAGGCCCAGGCGTGGCTGCTCCCTCTTGGAGGTCAGTGGCAGACACCCTGGTGGCTCGGTGCACAAGGCAGAGAGGGACAGTTTTCCAGGAGAAACCCTTCAGGGGGAGTGGCCGGTCTGGGCTGCAGCAGGGTCAGCTCAGGTGAGGGGAGAGCTGGCAGGCGCCCTGGGCGGGGGCTCCTGGAGGCAGAGGCTGCCGGGGCAGGGCTCTCCCAGGCCAGCCGCCCCGCTGCCCTTCCTGTGGGTTCCTGATGGCGGAGTTCATGTGCTCCTCCCCAGAGGCTCTCCCTGAGAGGCAGGAAGGTGGGAAAGGGTCGGGCGCAGGCGGAGGTTATGCGGAGTGAGTAGGGGAAGGTGGGCTGGCAGCTGGGGGCACCCCCTGGCTGGGGCCACGGGGTGTTCAGGCAGAGAGACCTTGACCCAGGCCTTCCTGGGCCTCTCCTCTGTGTCGGATGGTGGTTCTGAGACAGGACTGCACCTGTTTCGGGCACACGGCCGGGTTGGGGTGCTGTTAGTCCCGGCCCCCCCATCCCCACCCCGACTTGAGGATGGGAGTGCAGGGGTGTGGCTGGGGCATCCCTGCCACCAGTGCTGATAGAGGGCCAGCGGCGGGGCTTATGTCTCCATGGTACTGCTCGTGGCTGGTGCTGTTAGGGGGACTTGGATGATTGTTTCTGGGGCCTGTTTGGTGGTGGTGGGGGGGGTGTTAGAAATGGGGCGTCTGCTGGGGCCATGCAGGGGTGAGGAGTGGGTGTCTGGGCGGTGGTTGGTGTTTGTGTCCTGGCTCCCAGGGTAGCCTCTGGCAGGAAAGACTCCCCTGGGCATGGGGTCCTCAGTGGGGCCACTGTTGTTGTGTCCCCTGAGCCCCGCCAGCACAGCCTCTCCAGCGGGGCCCCGAGGGATCCCCAGCCCAGCCCTGACCGCCCCCCCCCCCCCCAGCTGCGGCGGAGCCCCATCAAGAAAGTCCGCAAGTCCCTGGCTCTCGACATCGTGGACGAGGACGGGAAGCTGATGATGTCCTCGCTGCCCAAGACGCTGTCCTTGGTAAGGGGCTGAGCCGCCGCCCCCGTCCTCCGGGCTTTCCCCCGGGGCTCTGCCTCTGGGCCCTGAGGCGGTGGTGCAGCCTGGGGGTGGAGTGTCTGGTGGTTTTGGAAGTGACTTCCTTGTGCTGCTCAGCAGGAAGTTTTACTTTCGAGTTTGCTAGAATGCTTGTGAAAACCATGGGTCTGGGGCGCCCCCACCTTCCCTGGGATCTTACTCATGGGGTGACCTGGAGAGTCAAGGCCAGGCCTTAAGCACAGCCAGGAGGTGGGAGCTAAGCCCTGGGTGCTCTCCAGTCCCAGGCGACCACGGGAAGGGGCTGCTGCCCGCACACAGACAGGGTCCCCAGAAGCCAGGCCACAGTGTTGACTAAAGCGAGGATGGGCGAGCTGTCTTCCCAGGCGCCCAGAGGGAGGCAGCGAGGGGCGTGGGGGTCACATGGATCAGGTTTCCTGAGCAGATCTTGCAGGTCACCACGGTCCTTGCAGAGAATCCTCCGTTTGGACGTGGCCCCTCTAGCCAGCCCTGCAGCTGGCGTCCTGTAGGCCCATAAAGGAATTACCAAAAAGAAAAGTCCGTTTGGCAAGTGGCTAAGGCACAGGATGTGGAGCGGTGGGCCTGGGCTGATCCCGACCCAGCACTTGCTCTCTCAGATCTCAAGGCCCCCGCCTTGGGCCCTGCCTGTGACAGGGGCCCCGGGCCCATCGGACTGTTAGGAGGGTGAAGGCTGCGCTGAGTGGGGAGAGTGGACAGACCTGGCCGCTCTGGGCGGCTCCTTGTGGGCGCTGGTGGACTCGGCATCGCTCTGCCTGGCCGGGGACCCGGGACAAACCAGAGCACCCTCGTCTCCCTCTGATGCTGGCGGGGAGGAGCCAGCCTCCTAGAAAACATTCCTGAGCATGTGCTGGGTGCTGGGTGCTGGGCTCTGAAGCGGGCACTTTCCGAACACCGGCTTAATCTTTCTGTGACCTCCCACCTGGCACGGAGGCTACCGTCGTGCCTCAGGTCCCACAGCCAGGGGATGTGACTGGGTGTTTTTGGAATTTGTGGCCAAATGGTGAGTCTTTCACTTGGTTTTGATTTCAGCCAACACACGTGCCATCCGGCTCCTCCAGTCTCATCCTGCCCGGCATCCGAGGAGACAACAGCCTGCTCAACCAGGGCTTCCTGCAGGCCAAGCCCGAGAAGCCGGCCGCGGCCCAGAAGCCCAGAAGCCACCCACCGGCCCCCACCCCCGTGAGTTCCGCTCCCACACGTGGCACCAGCCCCGGGGGCTTGCTCTGCGGCCCTCTCCCCGCAGGGGCCTTGGCACAGGCTGTTGCTTCTGCCTGGATTCCCGGTCAACCTAGGTTTCAGCTCTCAGTCCCGACGCCACCCTCGGAGAGCCCTCGTGCAGGCAACCCCCGCCGCACAGGTCCCCTCTGCACGGCGGGGGTCTCACTCGTCTCTGGATGTAGCTGCTTAGCACCTGGCTGTCCTTGAGGGTGGAGGCTGCCCTGGTTAGCTCCCGCGGGTACACGTCTGCACGTGTGGATCCCTCCTCCCCACCTGCACGGCTGTAGGTTCTCCTCACGTGGAAGCTGGTACCACAGGGGGCGTGGTCCTGTCTGGTGGTCCAGCCTCCGTGCCCAGAGGCAGGAGTGACTTCCCCAGGAAGTTGGGGAGGAGCAGAGGCAGATTGGCTTCCAGCAGAGTCACAGAAACGGCCCCCGCCCCTCCCAGGCCCGCTGCCACCAGGGCCCCCTGGGCGCGCTGCTCCTGCCGGATGGTAACCTCCTTGCCTCCCCCCAGATGACCAGCGCCTGGAAGATGGTGGCCTGCGGGGGGACCCGGGACCAGCTCTTCATGCAGGAGAAAGCCCGGCAGCTCCTGGGCCGCCTGAAGTCCAGCCACACGTCCCGGACCCTCATCTTGTCCTGAGGGGCTCGGTGGCCACGAGCCCACGCTCACGTTTACAGGGGGCCGGGGACAGGCCGGCCTGTGAACCTGAGAACCACACTCAGGGGACCGCCTGCAGGGAGCCTTCACTGCCAGCCCCTCGCGGATCTCTCAGGTGGAGACGCAGAGATCTCTCAGGGCAGAGATCTCTCAGGGCCGCCGCGCCTGCGGCAGCCTCTGGTGCTAACGGAACAGAGTCCTCTCCCAGGGCCACAGGGAGCCCGCGCTCTGGGGAGGCCCGGCCTCATCTCAGCCCCCTGCTTAGGACCGGGCACGGCCTGTGTGTTTCTGCTCATGGTTGATGTGTGTTCTTGAAAGAATAAAATTGCCTTTTTCCCTGCAGTGATGGTGCTCCTCTTTCACCACCTTGTGGTGATTGGTGTGTTTGCAGCAGTAGGTGAGGTGGGCCATAGCTGCTGCTACTTCTTTTTTCTTAATATTTTATTGATTTTTTACAGAGAGGAAGAGAGAGGGATAGAGAGTTAGAAACATCAATGAGAGAGAGACATCGATCAGCTGCCTCCTGAACACCCCCTACTGGGGATGTGCCCGCAACCAAGGTACATGCCCTTGACCGGAATCGAACTGGGACCTTTCAGTCTGCAGGCCGATGCTCTACTCACTGAGCCAAACCAGTTTTGGCTATAGCTACTTCCTGAGGGCCTTGGAAGGGCCTTTTATCTGATTGTAAGGCTCCCTCTTCAGCATCCTTATTAAGCGGTTGTCTGACCTTGGAACAGATGCGAGAAGTAACTTTCTGACTCAGCAGCCAGCTCCATGGCTGGAATAAGTGGGATGGAAGATTCTGGAATCCAGAGCCATTGTGACTGCCTGTGTCTTGATGGTTCCTCAGGACACCTGGCAGCTCTCCGTGGCTCTCCTGGCAGCTGTGGCTACAGCTCTGCCTTTGGACCACAAAGATGTGGATCCGGCGAGGTCACCTCTAGCTTTGTCTCTCCTGCTGTGAGCCTGGGAATCCTCGGCTGTGAAATGAGAATCCTTACCCTTTCAGAGCTGTGGAAGGGATTGGCGAAAACATCCTTGGGGCTCAGAAAATATGGACTCTGGATGTTATCACAGCTTTCGCATTCCTCTTTTTTTCTTGCACAATAATCCCTGCCAAGGACTGGTGTTCGTGCTTCTACTGGGTGCTCTGAGCGGAAGTTATTTATTAAGTCACCAAGTGAGGACTTGAACCCAGTCCTGCAGGCTGCCCTGGAATCATCTGATAGTTTCCAGCTATTATTGTAGAATGAGCGTCAGGTGTAGGGCCAGCTTTTAAAGGCTTTCCATGGAAGTGCAGCACATCCCAAGTGAATGACAGCTGGATGCGTTCCCACAAAGGACACATGTTACCAGAACCCAGACAAGAAATAGGACCTGACCAGCCCCCCAGAGGCCCCTCCACCCTGCCTGTTAGCCACCCTCCTAACCTCCAACACCACAGGTGGTTTTCCCTGTTTGTGTTTTAAATTTTTATTTGTATGAGGAACATTGGTTGTTTCTACTTATTGGTGCATTCATGGGCTGATTCTTATGTGTTCTCTGACCCAGGATTGAACCCATAACCTTGGTATGTGCTCTGATTGGGAATCGAACCCTCAACCTTTTGATGTGCTGGTTGGTGATCCAACTATAACTGAGCCACCTGCCAGAGCAAGGGACTCTTCATATCTGAATATTGGCAATAAAAAGACTCGCCCCTTGGTGTTGTGTCCAGAGCATTTAAAAACACTATCTGCCAGGGACCTGGCCCCAGTGTAGCTCCCCTCCCCTCCCTCTGCCATGCCAGAGTCCCGCTGTCCTAGGACACGGCTTTCTGCGAGGCTCCCCTCCGCCAGGAATCCTGGGTAAACGTGGAAAGCTTGTCTGCCGCCCATGGCGGGTGGGGCTCCATCACCCAGTCCATTGGCCAGCTCTCCTTTGTCATTCCATCGCTGGCACCCAGCCCTGCTGCGGTCACTGTCACTGTCAACAAATGTTTTATGATGGTCCCTGCATGCGTGTGTCCACAGCAGATGTTTTCTGGAGCCAGGCCCAGTAGAGGCTAGGAATGAGGACTGGCGAGGGAACAGGTGGCTGAGATCCAGCTCAGGGATGTCGAACAGACATTCCTCTCTTTCCTGGTCTCCCCCCTCCCATCTCCAGGCAGTTTTTTAAAAAATATATATTTTATTGATTTTTTACAGAGAGGAAGAGAGAGGGATAGAGAGTTAGAAACATTGATGAGAGAGAAACATTGATCAGCTGCCTCCTGCACACCCCTCGCTAGGGATGTGCCTGCAACCAAGATACATGCCCTTGACCGGAATCGAACCCGGGACCCTTCAATCCTCAGGCTGACGCTCTATCCACTGAGCCACACCAGTTTTGGCTCCTGGCAGTTCTTGAGCCCCTGCATTTCTTTACTCTTTCTGAAACAAATCCGGCCTTGAGGGGACAGAGGTCCGGTGGGGAGCCTGACCCTAGGGCTCTGTCAAGATAGTGCGGACTTCCGTTATGTAGTGTCACGTCTCACATATTAACTACTATCTCTGGCTTAAAAGCATTGGTTAGTATTGATCAGAATGGACATGTACTTGATTTAGATAAATGAATGTTTTCAAGTAGGTGCTACATCCTTTTACATTTATATGATTATTGACATAAAGGGCTTTTTCTTCATTAACTCTCCTCCTGACTGATGTTACTGTTCCTTGTACCGGGGTGGGCAAAAGTAGTGTTACAGTTCATATGGTAAATCCTATAGAATAAAGAGAATATGCAAATTGGCCGTCACTCCAACACAAGATGGCCCCTGCCATGTGGTCAAAGATGGCCACCCCCATGTGAACATAAGATGGCCAACAGGGGAGGGCATTTGTGGGCAATCAGGCCAGCATGGGAGGGGGATAGGAACTTGGTCAGGAGTCCTAAGAGCGTCCCAACTCACTAGTGTTCTCCCGCAGGTACCGTGCACTCCCTCCTTGAGGGAGAAGACCCGAGTGAGATCTTGGCTTAGAGTGGGGGCTAAATGGCTTGGTTACTGCTCACTCGGGACTTCTTGGGCTCTGGCAGGACCTCACTCTGGACCAGAGGGAATTCTAGTGTCTCCAATCACTGTCTCCCATGAGGAATGAGAGGCACATGGAGTCATGCTCTCTGTACCCTCACCCACCCACTCCGGGCCATCTGTCTTCTGCTATACTTGTTAAATTTTTAAAAAAATATATATATATTTTATTGATTTTGTACAGAGAGGAAGGGAGAGAGATAGAGAGTTAGAAACATCGATGAATGAGAGAGTCATCAATCAGCTGCCTCTTGCACACTCCCTACTGGGGATATGCCCACAACCAAGGTACATGACCTTGACCGGAATTGAACCTGGGACCTTTCAGTCCCCAAGCCGACGCTCTATCCATTGAGCCAAACCGGTTTCGGCTATACTTGTTAAATGGTAACTTCCACACCAATGGTGTGACAGAGAGCCTCTTTTCTCCAGGCCTGTGGTCCAGTATGAAGGCACGGTGACCCTGGCCCTCCCGGGAGTGAAGGTGGTTCAGCATCTGCTCTTACATGCCCCAGAGCCCAGCACGATGTTTATGGACAACACGGATGATGCTTTCGTATCCGGTCCCATCCCTTTCTCATGCCCATGACAGGCTGGCCAGCCTCAGTAATCCGGGCGTTTGTACGTCTGCGAATGGAGATAATGAAAGCCCTTCATCTGTCCTTAAACCTAGTGAGGAGCAGGGCGTTAGCTGTTGTCCATTCCTGTGCGGCTGAGCACCCAGCAGTGCGACGGCCCCACGTGCAGTCCATTAGGGAGAGAGGGGAGGCCCGGCTTGCTAATGCTTCTAATGGGCATCTTGAATGGTCCTCAAGCCTGCAGCCTTCTCCCGAGTCTGCTCCGAGCCTGGGACCTGACAGGTCGCTCACCATGGCAACCAAGGGAGGGAGGGGTGCAGACAAGCCTGTCTGAACATACATGAACAATCATGCAAGCGAGGTCAGGCCTACCTTCCGCTCACTCCCCTCCCACACCGATCATCCTGAGGGATGCTGCCCACAGGTGGCCGTCGGGCACGGAGGGGAGAAGGCCAGAGACATGCTTTCTGGACATGAGAGACTGAGCTGGCCAGCCAAGCCAGCAGTGACCATTAGGGATGGAAGCCACAGGAGGATTAGAGTCCCCGTGAGTCTGAATCCTTCAAGCGTGGAGAGACTTCTCACATCAAGCCCCGTGCTGCTGCCCCCTCCAGAGCGGCCCTACAGCGGTGTTTCCCAAAGTGTGGTCCGCGTACCCCCAGGGGTGCGGGAAGAGTCTGGTGGGGGCAGGCGTTGCACCGGAGTTTGGTGGGGATGTGCACTGCACCGTGCTTAGTTGCGCCTAAGTCTACGTTCTCATAAGTACGAGGGGTACTCAGCGTCACGAAAATTACAGAAGGGGTGCACATATGTCAGAAGTTTGGGAAACACTGTCCTAGAGGATGCCCTAAAGACAAGGAGCCCTCTACCTGCAGGAGGCTCCCTGGCCTGCCTCTCAGTTGAGTCTCCTCTGCACCCTCGGCCCTGAGAACCTCTCTCCCAGGCACGCCCGCCTCACTCAGCGGGTACATGGCTCTGGGGGGGGGGGGAGCGTCCACTACCTCTCTGGCTCCTTGTTCTCCTTGCTTGTGCAGCAGACAGGCATGGACGCCTGGGTGGCCCCTCCGGGCACCTGAGTTCTGGCCCCGGGCGTCCCCATGCTCCCCTCCGTGGGCCTCTTCTTGTCTGGGCTGCCCTGCCCTCTGCCCATGTGGGCTCCGGTGGCCCCCTCACTGGAGGGCCATGTTTTGAAACCTTCCCCGCTGTGCTGTGCAGCGCTTCCCCCAAAGGCCTGGGGGACCTGGCTGAGGCGCCAGACTGAGCCGTTTGGGTTGTTTGTCAGGTAGGCGTGAAAAGGAACCAGAACGTATTCTCTTTCTCTGGTTCCTGGGCAGCTGAAAGAGCCTGGGAAC